GGCCTTAGCAATAAAACAACAATACAATCTACAAATAAAAAGTCAATTATATAAAATACAGTTAAGGGTTTTGGATCAAGAGTCAAATAGTGGAAAAAATGACACTTGGTTCTAGCCTGGCCTTTTTCTCTCGACTCTCTGCTGGGCTGCTCTTTCTAAACTTTCCTGTTAAGAAACTGGTCGAAACTTGAGACACTTCCAGCAGAAACATCCCTCCTGTCCCCGATCGATTGCCTCCTTGCCTCTTGCAAAACGGGTTACTCAAGATATATTGCCTTTGGGTTTTGACACGCAAGGGCTGGCAGAGAACAGCCCGTCACCCTGGGAGGAAAGAGGTGAGGCCACGAAACTTTGTGCAAACTTTGTCCAATCTCTCTCATCCTGCCATCCTCTCTCTCTCTTCCTCCTTGCTGATGGAGGGGCAGAAGGCTCCTATTGAAGTCTGAGCTGTTTTCTGATCATCCCAAGAGCAGACGCTGTTAGGGATTGGCTCCAGGAGTAGGGGAAGGAGACTAGGAAGCTGACTCATGCTGAGTCATGCCATTGGTCCTTCCAGCTGGGTATTGTCTCAGCATTGACTGGCGGCCGCTCTCTAGGGATTCAGGTGGGGCATTTGTGCTTTCCAAGGATTGAAGCTGGGCTTTTTGCAGGTGCTCTACCGGTGAGCCACAGCCCCCCCCCCCAAAAAAAATACAGACCCCAGCCTTCGTAATTCTGAATGAAGAACTGATTTCCATAGGAGCATAGGCATCTGCCGCCATACCTTAAATCAGGGGTTGGCACTTTTTTGTTTCGCCCCCTGTGGCCCCAAAGTTCCCCTTTCATGCTGACTGGATGCAGGAGACAGGGACACGGCTGCAGAAATAGCAACAGGTCTTCATCCTGCCATGACCCCAGACCACTAACTGTCATGGTCCGGTTCATGGGTGATCTAAGTCCCAGCTGGGGACGTCGGGACCGGGAGCAAGATGGCGGGGTGGGAGCAGGAATGGGAGTCCAGAAGCCAGGAGTCATGAAGTCAGGGGTCCGAGGGTCAGGAAGCAAGGAGTCACGAAGTCAAGGGTCCGAGGATCAAGAAGTGAGGAGTCAAGGAGTCAAACGCAGCAAAGCAGGGAACGTATTGCTGTGGCAAAGAGCCGAAGGGAAATGCTGACTTTATATCCCTTCCCGGCTCTTGCCACCAGGTGCTGTGAGTTACCAATCGGCCTCACCTGTGTGGCTGCACCTTGCCTCTTCAGAACAAACTTAGGAAGGCCCCAGTCCTGCAAAGTCCTACTGATCACAGGGCCTGGCTCCTGCACGCACACCTGACACTAACCTTCTGCTCCTGCCTTAAATGAAGTGGCCGCAGTGTGAGGGGGTGACTTCTTGGTTCCCCCCTCCCTTCTGTTGGTTTCCCAGCTTCTTCCTTCACAGCACAATCCCGCCCGTATTTAATACAAATCAGGGTCTGTCATTGTGCATCTACGCTTGATTCACAGTCGCGCTGCATGGTGGGCTTTGTAATCCTACAGCTGTTGGTGTTGTTCTTTGGTAGCCATGGTCCAGGTCTTCAACAAAGGGCTTTGTGTGGGTTCTGTCTGGCGGCGGCGGTACGAATATAAGTGAACACAACTAAATATAACTCCCATTTTCAATTCTTATATCGCTGAAAACTCAATTCTGGGAGGCAGACAATAGGGGCAAGGGAGCTGCTGCCTTCAGGCCCTTGGAGGCATCTTGTCAACCATGACTGGATCCCCAGCCTTTGTAGAGTTGTGTGTGTGTTTGAGGTTGAATCCTGACAAGACAGAAGTACTGTTTTTGGGAGACAGGAGGCGGGCAGGTGTGGAGGACTCCCTGGTCCTGAATGCGGTAACTGTGCCCCTGAAGGACCAGGTGCACAGCCTGGGAGTCATTTTGGACTCACAGCTGTCCAGGGAGATGCAAGTTAAGTCTGTGTCCAGGGCGGCTGTCTACCAGCTCCATCTGATACGCAGTTTGAGACCCTACCTGCCCGCAGACTGTCTCGCCAGAGTGGTGCATGCTCTGGTTATCTTCCGCTTGAACTACTGCAATGTGCTCTACGTGGGGCTACCTTTGAAGGTGACCCGGAAACTATAACTAATCCAGAATGCGGCAGCTAGACTGGTGACTGGGAGCAGCTGCCGAGACCACATAACACCGGTCTTGAAAGACCTACATTGGCTCCCAGTACATTTCCGAGTACAATTCAAAGTGTTGGAGCTGACCTTTAAAGCCCTAAATGGCCTCGGTCCAGTATACCTGAAGGAGCATCTCCACACCCATCGTTCAGCCCGAACACTGAGGTCCAGTGCCGAGGGCCTTCTGGCGGTTCCCTCACTGCGAGAAGCCAAGTTACAGGGAACCAGGCGGAGGGCCTTCTTGGTAGTGGCACCCACCCTATGGAACCCCCCTCCCATCAGATGTTAAAGAGAAAAACAACTACCAGACTTTTAGAAGACATCTGAAGGCAGCCCTGTTTAGGGAAGCTTTTAATGTTTAACAGACCACTGTATTTTGATACTTTGTTGGAAGCCGCCCAGAGTGGCTGGGGAAGCCCAGTCAGATGGGCGGGGTATAAATAATAAATAATAAATTATTATTATTATTATTATTATTATTATTATCCCTCTTTCCTTCTCTCCCTCCTCGGATGCCCTCTCACGTCTCTGCCTCCCAAAGCAGTTTGTTGCAGCAGCCCTGGCTATAAGTTCCCCAGGCAAATGATGTCTCTGGCGCTGGCCAGGGGGTGCTGATGCCAGGAGCTCAGACGGCCTCGGAGCAAGCAGGCAAGTGGGTGAGGAAGTCCAGCCAGCCAATCTGCCAGCCCTTGCTGTTGGGAAATGGACAGACAAGTGGGAGGCCGGGCAGGCAGGTACTGCACCGGCCTTTCTTGTGCTTGCTGTGTACAAGGCCCGCTTGGGAGCTGAGTGCCCGGTGCTGAAGGAGAGCCTTTCCGCCATGCAGGCCTGTTGCTGCCAGATCCTAGCCACTCCAGCGTCGCTGCAAACAGTTACAGCTTGCCACCAACTGCTCCAACGCACAGCCGCCGGCTCCATACACCACCAGGACTCGCCAGCTCCCTGCTGAGACGCTTTCATTCGTTTTGCACTCTGCACATGCTCAGAAACACTGGGCCCATAACCTGTCAGTGTTTGCAAAAAGCAAAAGGAAAGGGTTCTGACCTCCCTTTGTCGCCTCAGCCTTGTCGGCATAAAAGAGCCCACAAGAAAAGTATCCTTGCAGAGTACTTTCTGCTTTTATTCTTGAAAGTCTTTCTGCAAAAGCGACTGACACACAACAACACTACCAGCTTTCACCAACCAACCAACCAAACTAACATTTCTTACTCTATATATACAACCCGGTATAGGCCGCTGACTCATGCTGACCCAGCTTTTTAAGCATTAAAGAAACAGCGGCCATTTTAGCCTTGACATAAACTACAGTTCCCAGGATTGAGTGTGTGTGTGTGTGTGTATTTTTGTGTGTGCTTTAAGTGTGCTTTTTGATTACCTCCCCCCACCACCGCAGCCACACTTAGTCCTGTCTCTTCCCATTCTTGTCCTTTTAAACTCCTGACCTTTGCGACAGACCGAGTGACTTTGATATGATTGATGCCGGTAAAATTTTGCAGATAAATCAGGTTTTAAATCTCCACATAAAGCTCTTGAAGCAGAATCGTGATCAGTAAATAGCCCTGGATCTCAAATGCTCTGTCAGAGTTCTCTCTCAAAAGTCAGCAAATCAAGCCTTGCAGGAAATCCTGCATGAGTCAATTAACATTAGAGCTGAAAAATTAATATTTGCATCTCTTCCTTGGGCTTTCCACCCTTCCTGCAACCAGCTGAACAGAAATCTTTAATTTCTCCCACTACACAGATGATGAGATTTAACAAATCGCTATTAAACTGCGCAATAGGAACAACAAACAGCACCCCTTCCCCCAATAATTAGAAAAGAACGTAGTCCGTAGCAGCATATTTGTGCTCTTTTGCGGAGACAGAACATGATTTATTTATTTTTTTAACTGAAAAATGAAACTCCTGAGTTAGACAGAAAAAGAGGGGGCACCTGGATTTGAACCAGGGACCTCTTGATCTGCAGTCAAATGCTCTACCACTGAGCTATACCCCCAGCTGCCCAGAAGGATTGCTTGTACTGTTTTTCTGCCTCAGAGTAAACACCCACATTGCTTTTAAAGTACACACAACTGGAAGATACTTGTGTGCGTTAAGGGCGTTTGCCTTTCCTGCTGTGACAAACAACCTTATAAAAATGGCTCTCTCTGCAAAGGGTAGCTAAGTGCTCACAAGTATTCAGTTCATTTCATTTGCATATCTCACCCTCCATCCTAAGATCTTGGAGAACTGACTACAGTTTAAAGAACCAACAACCCACCAAAACCTATTTGACAGAATATTCATTAATATATTTTTTTAAGTGTAATCCAGATGAATTAGATGTATACCTGATAAAAACCCAAGTGCTAAATAAGTATTTAAAGAATAGAAAATATTCCAGATCACAATTTAATGGGCTTCCAGGGGAAGGAAGTTCTACAAATCATGGAGACACCATGATTGGGGATAGATCTGCATTTAAAGAGATGGAGCTGTTGCACCTATTATAGCCCTAAGAATATCATTCTCTAGTCTAGACCAGGGATGGGGAAGTTGTGACTCTCCACATGTAGCTGGACTCCAAGTCCCATCAGCCCAAAGCATGATGGGAGTTGGAGTCCAGCCAGATTGCAGGCAGGGCCAATGTTAATCACTGTTAATGATTAAATTAGCATAACGTAACTCAATACACATTAATCCGTCAAACAGTTTTATGGGAAAGGGGGCTATATTCCAAATACTTTGGAATAACAGATTTCAAGACAACGTACAACTTTATGATGCTTTCAGTTTATTGTAAATCTGCATATTCATGAACTTCAAGTACTATTTTCATGTACAAATTATTCATTAAATAAAAACAAAAATTACAGAGTGCGGGAGGGAATGATGACTTGGTCCTTGCATTACTTGGCGACAACTCAGATATTTTTTATTTACAAATGTCCAATAGAAAGAGGGAGGCAAAAACAATTTTATGTACAGTGTTATTTACATGGAATAAATACAGCTCTGTTTTGTTTTTTTAATCCACACTCCCTGCTTGCCTATTGTTTTTGGCATCTCCAGACAATTTTATCCGACCAGTATTCAAATGAGGCCCTGCGGGAGGGAAAGAGAGAGAATTTTTTTTAAATAGGAGTGTCTACTGTTGAAGCAGATTTTCATGTCACACAGCATTCTTCGTCAGGTAGCAAAAGGAGACAGAGCACATTAGCCTCTGGAGTTGGCTGTGGCTCAGATTAAAATAGGTTCTGTGATTAAGATGTAGTTTAGTGAGCACCCTAGCCAGGTGCATACTACATATTGTCAATCAAGCAAAATTAATAATCATCATCATCATCATCATCATCATCATCATCGAGCACACCTAATGATCTAGTGCAGAGGAAGGGAAGTGGATCTGGCCAGTGGGATTTCCCCCTGCCCCACTGCCCAACTTTGACAGGCGGATGGGGCTGGCAGCCTATCCACCCCCTGACATTAATAATGACACCAAGTGACCCATTTTCCTTTTAAACCAAATGGTGCAGAGTGGACAAAGGCACACCAGCAACACTTGCTAGGCTCGGGGCTCTGCAGGAACCGCTGATCAGCTGCTGATGCCAGCACTTGCAAAGCCTGGTGCCTTTGCAAGGGCCGAAAATCAACTCATCTCATCATCAGCAAGTGCATTTGAAAGGTTTTTGAAAGAGCCAACAATAATCTGAATAGCAGAGTCACAAAAACCCTGCTTTCTGTGAGGTGCTGCGTGCCTTCTCCTGCCCTACCTCTGACATCATATATGACATCAGGTGCAGGGCAGGGCTTGACCCCCCCCCCAAAAAACCCCCAGAGTGGTAGACCATGTGGGGAAACCTGCAGGTCTGGTAAGGGCCATGAGCCTGAGAATTCCAACATGCCCTTTTCATGAGAGATCTGCATTGGCTACGTTTCCAAACACAATTCAAAGTGTTGGTGCTGACCTTTAAAGCCCTAAACAGCCTTGGCCCAGTATACCTGAAGGAGCGTCTCCACCCCCATCATTCAGCCCGGACACTGAGGTCCAGCGCCAAGGGCCTTCTGGCGGTTCCCTCATTGCGAGATTACAGGGAACCAGACAGAGGGCCTTCTTGGTAGTGGCGCTCATCCTGTGGGAACACCCTCCCATCAGATGTGAAGGAAATAAGCAGCTACCTTATCTTTAAAAGACATCTGAAGGCAGCCCTGTTTAGGGAAGTTTTTAATATTTAATGCTGTATTGTTTTTAACACTCAATTGGGAGCCGCCCAGAGTGGCTGGGGAAACTCAGCCAGATGGGCCGGGTATAAATAATATATTATTATTATTATTATTATTATTATTATTATTATTATTATTGTGTTCACAATGTTTTCAGGGCTATCACACCCACGTTCCTATTTTCAATGCCATTCACGCCTGTGAAAAAGTGTTGGGGCAGCGTTGGCGCTGCTTCTTTTCTATATACCCCTTAACTCCCCGCTGAAACCCCATCAGCTTTTTATGCCACAAATGTTTCGGTTAATTTTTGTCCCGCTTTTATTGCACCCTTCCCGCTCGACAGACAGCGACAGTGTGTGGAGGCACATTGCAGAACAAAGCAGGGATAAATCAACCATCGATGATGCCCTGTTATGGGTACGAAAAGCACGGTTGCAGAATGCACCCATCTGGGAGGAGCTCTCGTGCCACATTCTGCAAAGCAATTATTTGCTTAAGGGTGGAGGGGAAGCCATTTCACGATATGTTGCTAGTCATCCCCCTCCCCTTCCAGTCCACATCAGTGTACTTACTCTCGGTTAGGGGACATCTTTTTGCACACGAGTCCTTCTAGGCAAGGACACACCTGGTTCATGCTGAATGCAATCCCTCCTTCCGGAACGTAGCACCCTTCATCTAAAAGGAGCCTTTTCTTGCAGACTTTCTCCCCATGTTGGCGGGCACAGCAGGCGTCGGGAGAGCAATCTTTATCGTGGTGGCAGCGGGCACCTCCAAGGGGCAAGGAAGCGAGAGTAACTGAGAACCCAAATGCATCTGAGGATGGCGATACAGACCTCGAAAGCTAGCACATTTTGCAAAGCAAAGAAAATCCGGCATACTTTGCAAACCTGAGCCGCCCTTAATCATTAGCATCAAGCACATTTTTTGCAAACCTGAGATGATAGATAGATAGATGATTGATTGATTGATAGATAGATGATAGATAGATGATAGATAGATAGATAGATGATAGATAGATAGATGATAGATAGATAGATAGATAGATAGATAGATAGATATCTTTATTGTCATTGTCCCATACAGAACAATGAAATTGAAAAACTACATAAAACATTCAAAAACCCCTAAAAACTCTGAAACCCCATTTTAAAATACACTATACTATACTATAAAATACACTATACTATAAAATACACTATACTATAGAGACCCCTTATGCTGCGTTTAGAACCAGAATTGCATTTGTGTAGAAACTGTTTCTCAGGCGTCTTAGACATCTAGCGCACTTTTCTAATCTGTGATGTATTAATCTCCCTCCTCCGAATTAGTTTCAAAATGAAAGTACCTGAAAACATATGCATTTAAAAAAGGGGGATAAATCAATGCCACAGGACTACAACTCCCAGCTTCCCTAACTATTGGCCTTGCTGTCTAGGGTTGATGGGAGTCCAACTTTGGGAGGGCGGGGGGAACGGACGGACCCACATTAAACCCTCCATTTCCTCCAAAGCCCTCAAGAACAAGGTAAAGATGCATAAATAATAGTGACAGTCAATGGTTACTTCTAACCCAAAATGTATTCACTCCATGGTTTACCCCTGTGCCTCGATTTCCCTTGCTTTTTTCTGTTGCTTCCCTTGTGTTGGATTTTAAATTGTGAGCTCCTTGGGGCAGAGACCTGTCCTTTCGGACTTTACATAGCAGAGCGCAGATTTCTAGCTCGATGAATTACTGGGTCTTCATTCAGCCTGCTTGGAAGCCTAGTCCTTCCATCTGAAAGCCCTGCCCCTCCTAATTCCAGAGAGAACATGATTTACTACATTTACTACACGCCTGTTCCCTGAGCTACTAGAGCTCCAATTAGACATTTAGGCTCCTTACTTTGAAAGGCCTAACCTTTGTTGCGAGATGCAAAAGAAGCGTTGCAAAACAGGCCGCCCCCTCCATGGCTTACCTTCCTGGCCGCCAGGCAGAGTCTCCTGGCATTTGCCAAACATGCAGCTAAGTCCCAGGGCGCAGTGGGCATCCCGTCGGCAGAATTCACCTTCTTGCCTGAAGGGCAGGCAGAGCCCAAAGTGGTGGTCGCAGAAGAATCCACGGGGGCAGTTTATTTCGTGGCTGCACACGGCCGCCTGCAGTGCGAATGGAGAAAGATGGGGGTCAGATGCAGGATCTAGCAGTGCCAATTGCTAAGCTTAGGGGTCAGCAAACTTTTTCAGCAGGGGGCCGGTCCACTGTCCCTCAGACCTTGTGGGGGGCCGGACTATATTTTTTTTGGAGGGGGAAATGAACAAATTCCTATGCCCCACAAATAACCCAGAGATGCATTTTAAATACAGTGGTACCTCGGGTTACATACGCTTCCGGTTACAGACTCCGCTAACCCAGAAATAGTACCTCAGGTTAAGAACTTTGCTTCAGGATGAGAACAGAAATCGTGCTCCGGCAGCACGGCAGCAGCAGGAGGCCCCATTAGCTAAAGTGGTGCTTCAGGTTAAGAACAGTTTCAGGTTAAGAACGGACCTCCAAAATGAATTAAGTTCTTAACCCGAGGTACCACTGTAAAAGCACACATTCTACTCATGGAAAAACACCAGGCAGGCCCCACATATAACCCAGAGCTGCATTTTAAATAAAAGAACACATTCTACTCATGTAAAAACACACTGATTCCTGGACCGTCCGCGGGCCAGATTTAGAAGGCGATTGGGCCAGATCCGGCCCCTGGGCCTTAGTTTGCCTACCCATGCTTTAAAGAATGGCAGCGGCAGCTGGCAAAGGATTTCCAGCAGCCTGATAGAGTCAATGGCAGAAAAGCTGGACAGAACTACCAGTTTGAAGCTTGCTGAAATTTGCACAGAGGCTGGGTCCTTTGGAGAGAGATTCCAGCTCTTAGGGAGCACCAACTAACACCCACAAAAAATGGCATCCACACTGGACTTTGTAGATGCATGTGGGTAGGGCTGCCATACGTCCTGATTTTCCAGGACATGTCCTGCAATTTGCCTCCAAAAATGGCCTCCTGGATTATTTTTCAGAAATCAGGCAAATGTCCTGGAAAACTGGTGACAGGGGTTACCGTAAATTGTGATGGAAATGCCTTTTTAAAAGCTCCAAAACTCAAGTTTTACAAAAAAAAAAGCTCAACTGTGTCCTGATTTTTACTTTTGGAGACAGGGCAAGCCTAAATGTGGAAGTGTAAGATAGATTTGCTAGTCATCACTCCCCGTTAGGGTGGCTGCTTGTGTTTGCCAAAAAAAGAGAGAGGACAAAACAGGTAACATATTTGCAAAAAAAGAAGGATATGCTCATCCATACAGATGCAAATTTAGAAATCATTGATATAATTCAAATCAAAAATACAATGCATCTCTTTTTAGTGGGAAAATCTGTGACCAGGTGACCTCTGTGTCTACAAATCTCTCACTCCAGAGCAACTAAAACCAGCACCCTACTTATGTGGGTTCAACAAGAGGGCTTCTAGTACGGCTTCCAGGTGGACCTGAACTCAGAGCCGCCTTCTTAAAAAAATTATCAGAGCTAATTTATCAGAGCTCAGCTCAGTGCAATCTAGTCTTCCTCTTAATTCCTGCACACACTCTCCCTATGACTCCACCTCTCCTCTTGCACCTCCTCTATCTTCTAGAAGTCTGGCACTCTGAACATGCTCAGAAGCACTCTCTGCTTTATAACTACACTGGAAGTGCCTAGGTGAGGGCTGGAGCTGGAAACAGATTTGTGGGAGTCAAGTTGCTGCCAGATTAATGGTGTGGCCCTGCAAATGCTGTTGAATCCCATCAGATCCCATCAGCCCCACCCAAAGTGGCCAAATGATATGGGGGGGGCGAAAGGAATTGGAGGCCAGCGACACCCAGAGAGCCACAGGCTCCCTATCCCAGGACTAATAGGACAGATTCCCCACTCCACTCACTTGCCCTCCCTCCTCATTGCTAGAAGCTAGACAGCCCACATGATGAAAAGGCAAAGATGACCTGTTTTTAAAAGGTTGGGGGAAGATGCTTACCGTCACCTCCTGGCCGGATGATGACCCGGGGTCCCTGCGAGGTGGCACCCCATTGGCAGCGTGTGGCAGAGAGTGCATCCATGCCCAGATGGAGCCTTGCACCGCAGACAAACGGCAGAGGAGGAAGACGAGAAGGCAAAGCTGGTTCCTCATCACGACCACGATGGATGGATGACCGATGGCTCTGGCTGAAGGAGAGTTGGCAAGGGAGATTGGTCCAGGGAGGATGCCTGGGAAAGTTTATATAGCCAGGCCTATCTCGGCTCCTGCTGCTTAAGCTGTTTGCCAATCTAATGGGGAGGAGGAGGCAATCAGGTTTTAGGGGCTTAGCCTAATGATTACGAGCGCCTGACCGCCCACCCCCCCAGGAGAGCAAACGAATAACCCCAGAAGTCTGGCTCCACAGCAATGCTCTCCTGTCTCCATTTTTGTAGACCACATTATTTTGGGGTGGGGAGTGGGTCACTGTTATGAAACCATGAATAGAGAGCATTCGTATCATTTGGGGAAGCTTTTAATGTTTGATGCATTACGGTATTTTAATATTTTGTTGGAAGCCACCCAGAGGGGCTGGTGAAGCCCAGCCAAGATGGGCCGGGTATAAATAAATTATTATTATTATTATTATTATTATTATTATTATTATTTACCCTTTTATAGGACAATACTAATGCTTGCTCATTAGTTTATTCTTTTTTAAAAAAAGGTGTATGATGCCTCTTACTTGAGTCCCACTTCGCAGTCAAAACTGATTCGCAAAGGGGCTTCCCAGTTAAAATCCAGTTGATAGTTAGAAAGCACCCAGGGCAGATTACAGACAAGATACTACTGCTGTCGTCAAAGCCCTGCTTCTGAGCTCCCCAGCAGCACCCAACTGCTATACTGTGACCGATCTTTGGTGTGATTCCCACCCCCAACAATTCTTACATGTTCTTAACATGTGTGTGCATGTTGATACCCACCAGCCAATGCAAGTTGCTCAGTTTAAATGGATTTGGCGCCGTTGGGAAACATGCTTGCCTCCTACCCCAGACAAAAAGTGTTGGGAAAATAGCAATGGAAACTGTAGGATAACAGCAACGTTGGTTAGATGCCGGCATATAACCCTCACGCAAACTGAATTAATGCTCAGCAAAGAGCAATGGTGTATAACCTCCAGGCAGATAAGTTGGGATGGATGCTCAGCTGGAAATGCCAGAGGCTGAATATCATACTGGGCTGTATTCAGGTAATTTTTGGTGGGCAGAGAACAGTCAAGTCAATAATAATAATAATAATAATAATTATAATAATAATAATACCCCGCCCATCTGGCTGGGTTTCCCCAGCCACTCTGGGCGGCTCCCAACAGAATATTAAAAACACAATAAAACATCAAACATTAAAAACTTCCCTAAACAGGGCTGCCTTCAGATGTCTATTTCAGTTGTTTAGTTGTTTATTTCCTTGGCATCTGATGGAAGGGCGTTCCACAGGGTGGGCGCCACAGCTGAGAAGGCCCTCTGCCTGGTTCCCTGTAACCTCACTTCTCACAGTGAGGGAACCACCAGAAGGCCCTCGGCGCTGGACTTCAGTGTGAACGATGGGGGTGGAGACGCTCTTTCAGGTATACTGGGCCAAGGCCGTTTCATGGCCTTTCATGGTCAGCACCAACACTTTGAATTGTGCTCGGAAACATACTGGGAGCCAATGTAGGTCTTTCGGGACCAGTGTTAGCAGTCTCGGCGGTCACTCCCAGTCACCAGTCTAGCTGCTGCATTCTGGATTAGTTGTAGTTTCCGGGTCACCTTCAAAGGTAGCCCCACAGTAGTCCAATGTCAAGTGTTCAACAGACATAAGTGCCTAATAAGTCCATGTAAGTTAGTCCTTTCTCTCCAGTCCCCCCCCCCCCCCATTTTCTACGCTAGCTGCAAAGAGAATACAGTACAGTGGTACCTCGGGTTGAGTACTTAATTCATTCCAGAGATCCGTTCTTAACCTGAAACTGTTCTTAACCTGAAGCATCACTTTAGCTAATGGGGCCTCCTGCTGCGCCACCGCTGCACGATTTCTGTTCTTATCCTGAAGCAAAGTTCTTAACCCGAGGTAATATTTCTGGGTTAGTGGAGTCTGTAACCTGAAGCGTATGTAACCCGAGGTACCACTGTAGAGCTTCTTTCTCCTTGACTAGCACAGAAGCCAAGGCAGTCTTACAGAGGCACGATGAAACACTCTATACCCCCTCTAGCCTTTCACTTGATAAAAAAAATGGTTGGCTGGTTAGCTGGTTGGTCTTAGCTGGGCTGCCAAGAGGTTCAACCCTAGCTTACATTTTCCATTCTGGTTAGTTAAATGCAGCCCACTGCACGTAATGCATATTCTTCATCTCTAAACTTTGAATCCCCAACCCGCAAAAAGCAGAATACATCCCAGGACAATGTTCGGTCCTTAGCACCAACAATTAAAAAGGATTCCTGGTTTCAGGATTCAAGGAGGCCGACCCTCATCCATAACTTCTGGAAATAAACTTCTGGTCAAAGCAAATAATGACAGGCGAGATGGTTCATAGTTTTTCTTTGTGTAGAGCAGGGTAAAGTACATCTGGCCATGGCATAGCCTTGTGGGGGGTGGGGTGGGGCAGGAAGGTATTTTCCTCACTTGCAAAGCTGTGTACATCTCAGGAACCCTCCTGCTGAATTAGGTGATATCTTGAGAGGTGGCCAAACACATAGAAAACAAATGGACCAATCATTATATTGATTACCTTTTGGCTGACCAGTTTCCTGAGATCACTGCCAAGGTAGCTGGTTTTTTTGTGTAGCAGCAATGCCTTGTCAGTGCAGGATCTCGTCTTAATTTTAGAATTATTAACACCTGACCTTGCTTTTTCTTTTTCTTAAAGCCACTTTAATATAATTGTTTTATATTTCTCGTTGCCTTTTAATATCTCCCATTGTTTTTAATCAGCACATGTAATAGTTTACATAATGTATTTCACTGTGTTTTGTTTTCTTCTTATCTTCTCTACTGGTCACCGATCAAAATGTATATCAAAACAGCATATCCGTGCGCTCTGGTTTCCGTCATGGTGTCCTGTTACACCAGAAGCAGTTTAGTCCTGCTGGCCACATGACCTGGAAAGCTGTCTGTGGACAAACGCCGACTCCCTCAGCCTGAAAACGAGATGAGTGCCACAACCCCATAGTCAAAGTAAGCCAAATTTACTATTTATGTGAGGAAACACAAGGCCCAAGCGGTTTAGCCAATGTCCCACATGAACTGACGCACCATACTTTTAAAACATTCTTACTCCTTTTCAACAGTCATGGAGAATCCTGGGAACTGAACTTTGATAAGGGAGCTGGAAATGGTAGCTCTGTGAAGTCAGCACCCTCAGAAAATTACAGTTCCCACAATTCATTGAGGGAAGGGGGAAGCCATGACTGTTAAAGTGGCATAAGAGTGCTTTAAATCTATGCTATGGATGTGCCAGGCAGAATGCCCAGAATCCTTTGCAGCACACAGGGGACGTGAGGCAGACACTGGAGATGGCAAGCACCCAGCAAATGCAAGAAGTCTGGAAATGTTTTAAAATGTTGCACAGGGCCTGCCTGTGTGGACAGGCACCCATCCTTTCAGGAAACGAATTGTGTAACACAGAAGAAGGAGACACTTTTAAGCTGCGCTACTGGGCGCTGTGGGTTAAACCACAGAGCCTAGGGCTTGCCAAATGAAGGTTGGTGGTTCGAATCCCCTCGACGGGGTGAGCTCCCATTGCTCGGTCCCTGCTCCTGCCAACCTAGCAGTTCGAAAGCACGTCAAAGTGTAAGTAGATAAATAGGTACCGCTCCAGCGGGAAGGTAAACAGCTTTTCCATGTGCTCTCTGGTTCACCAGAAGTGGTTTAGTCCTGCTGGCCACATGACCTGGAAGCTGTACGCCGGCTCCCTCGGCCAGTAAAGCAAGATGAGCACCACAACCCCAGAGTCGTCCGCGACTGGACCTAATGGTCAGTTGTCCCTTTACCTTTACCTTTACTGATCATAAACATTATCCGCTAGGGGCCCTTCAGCGTTTGTTCTAGAGTCTAGGAGTTTCAAGGTTTTTTCCCCCAGGATACCCAAGACAAGTATGTATGCAAGCTGTCAAGTTGCAAAGAAGACTTCATCGGTCAAAATTGCCTGCTTTTACCATGCATGTCGTGTTATCAACCAAGCCGTCCCCTTATTGCCTTATCCTATTGATTCCTTCTGTGATCTTCATATGCTGCCATCTTGCTGCGGTAAATGATATGTTTCCATCTGTAATGCCTTATTGTTTTTCTATATGATTTTTATTAAGTTTTCTGTTTTACAATTTAAAATACTCATTTTACATCCTTAAGTTATCAATGACGTCCCTTCTCCTCTTTCCATGGTTCATTTCAGGTATCATAAATCCCTGCATATTTTACAAAAACTATACCATTCAGTATTCCATTACTGCATCCATTAAAACTTGTTTCCACCGTTGAATTGATCTTAATGCTGCCAGCGTTTTCAGCTGTACACAAATTATTTCCCATATATGCAATAAACGTTTTCCAATCTGCTTTAAACCTATGTTCTTCTTATTATTCTATATGTTAAGTCTGCGAGTTGTGCATATTCTGTCAACTTAAGTTGCCATTCTTCTTTGGTTGGGACCTCGCTCATTTTCCATTTTGGGGCTAACAAAATATGGGCCGCAGTTGTAGCATACATAAATAACCTTTTTTTGATACCTGGGAATTTCAGTCTGAATTATCCCCAACAGAAAGGACTCTGGGTGTGGTTTTTTTGGGGGGGGAGTACTTTTTAACATTTATTTCAATTCATTATGGACCATTTCCCGATAATCTTTTACCCTTTAACAAATCCACCACATATGAAGGAACGTTCCCTCCACCTCTTTGCATCTCCCGGACTTATAAGTGCTGTAATGCCTTTTTGTTAATTCAGCTATGTGGTGCTTATTATGCCAGGTATCTGTCAGTAGCTGTTTTTATGGGGTATGTGCGTGTTGTTGTTGTTGTGTGTATGTTTATCTAAAATGATCTCCCCACACATCTCATCACCACCCTCAGCTCATCTCCTCCCAGTGATGGTTTTAGCACTTTTCTTAATGGGGTTGCAAATGACATGTTTACTTTCCTGCTATCTTTATCACCTTCTTCCCTGGACAGATTGGCCCAGCAGGGAAGGGAATTAGAAGTTATTTGGATAAACATCAGCTTCCAGAGGCTTTGGGGGTACTCCTGAGTGGATTCCTCAGTGACCTCTTGCTTGTTTCCACCAAGATTTTTGAGAAACTAAAAGCTAAGTTCTGCAGGATCAGGCCAGACCAGAGGTCCATTCTAACCAGCATCCAATGGCCAACCAAATACTTGTGAGAGGTCTGCAAGCAAGACATGAGTGCAAAAGCACTTTTCCACACGTGTAATTCTGAGCAACCAATACTCAACGTTAATCAGTGCGCAGGCATGCACTCAAATTCCCCAACACATTAACCAACAGAAAGCCAGAGAAAATCCCAGGATATACACACAAAGTTACAAAAGCAAATTTATTTATTTATTTGCTCAGTGAAAGCAGAGCTTCTGTAAGCAGCTTGTTCAGCTTTCGGGGAGGCAGTTTTGGTGTTAAGCCCCATGTTTTCCTCAGCGGAAAAATCAGCTGGCGTTAGACCTGCAGACTCTACCGATTAATGAGGTGCAATTAATTTAGATGAGCGTTTGCAAGCACACACCTCAACATAAAAAGAGGAGTTTGTTATTGCAGTAAGTTTGGGTTCAATACCTCGAGGAACGGCTTAACATATTGCCTTTATTAAAAAGCAGCTAGTTTTGTGCACTAGGCCATAATAGCTCAGTTGGTACAGCATGCAGCTCTTAATCTAAGGGTTGTGGGTTCAAGCCCCACAATGGACAAAAAGATTCCTGCACTGCAGGGGGTTAGTCTAGATGACACCCATGGTCCCTTCCAATGCTATGATTTAGCTGGTCGGGCTGCACTTCCTCACTCTACTCTCCAAGAATCATCTGTGTGTGTGTGTGTGTGTGTGTAATATTTATTACGTTTTCTCTTTTACAATTTAAAATATTCATTGAACAACCTTAAAATGTCAATGACTTCCCTCCTTCTCTTTCCATGGTTCATTTTGCATATCATAAATCCCTGCATATTTTACATAAACTAAACCGTTCAGTATTCCACTAATATATCCATCAAAACATGTTTACACTGTTGAATTTATCTTAATGCTGCCAACGTTTTCAAGTGTACACAATTTCCCCCCCATATATTCAATAAACATTTCCCAGTCTTCTTTAAACATATGTTCTTCTTGTTCTCTTATTCTATATGTTAGGTCCGCAAGCTGCACATAAGTCCATGAGTTGCCATTCTTCTTTAGTTGGGACCTCGCTCGTTTTCCATTTTGGGGCTAACAAAACACGGGTTGCAGTGGTGGCATACATAAATAGCCTTTTTTTTACATCTAGGAATTTCTCTCTGAACTTTCCCCAACAAAAAGGGTTTGGGGGAGTTGTTGTTTTTTGGAAAAGTACATCTAAACATTTTTTTCAATTCATTATAAATTATTTCCCAATACTCTTATCCTTTTACAAGTCCACCACATATGAGTCCACTTCTAACTAATGGCTTCTGCAGCCTTATTTATTTCACCATACAAATGGAAACGACTCTCTGATGAGACTGGTTTTTTAACTTTCTATTTTTACATGCATTATATTGTAACAACTTCAAAAAACCCTTCTCGTCAGCCAGAGGACTTTGATCATGGATGGTTCTTAACATATGTACTTTTTCTTGTATTATAATTTATAGAAGTGTGCAATCAGGCTTCAATGAGTACAGTCAGGGTGACAGCAGTGTTTCCTGATCATGTAATTGAAAAACAAAACAAAACAAAAAAACAAAAAAACTCCCACCCCAAAACCTATGTCCCCACTGTGGATGGAGGTATGGATCCAGAATCGGCCTCCACAGTCACTTAAGGACACACCATATTCATGTAAGATAATCTTAATCAGCTACGAGTGATTGCCAAAGAAGAAGTTTCAGTTATCCACAATAATACATCTATAATACAACATTACACCATAAGAATTAACTCTCAAAATATCAGCAAATTATAATTTGGACAGAAATTGATCCTCTTTCAACCCTTACAATAACTCCACCAAGAAAAAGCTCCAAACTGGGAAAGAAAGGAGCCCTGCAACTTTAAGAGCCGCCCCTTCCTCCTCTTTTCCGTTTTGAAGTTTCCCAATTCTTTCTTCCTTTCTTTTCAAGCCCCGACTCCTGGGATTCGTCACTGGCAGCAGGGAGGGAGGCGCAGACTCGCTGTGACCAATGACAAGCCACCTATTTAGCATATGAGCCATAAGGGGTTCAAAACCTCCTTTTTGAAGGGTAAATAAATAAATCCCGGCTTAAAATGTTGCATTTTAAAATTAAAAAAACAATGCTTCGCGTTTTACTGCCCCAAATGAGACAGAACACGCGATGGGATTTTGCTCACTGTTACCTACAAGTGCATCGTGCTGTTTGTGGGCTGACGTCGCGGGCAACTGTTTTTCAGTGATTTCAGCTCTTTTTGTATTTGTCTAGCAGGTTTTCTGCAGTAGCGGAAAGCCGTCCCCGAATTGTGTAATGGTAGACATTTGAAAGTAGATACGATCGGCATACTGCTGTGCGTATAAAACTTGGGGGAAACCATTTGTTAGATTCCCTATTTTGATTTAATTTCCCCCCCCATGCATGGATGTTTTTACTGCTGTGTTAAAACACATGGAAGCTTAAAGCACAATATTAACTTAGATTTTGCACTCAATGCATGTTATTCAGAGCCCCTGGCTTTTGATTTTTTGCTTTTGCCTCTGACGCCTGCATATAATCTAGATATATTTTACATTTTTTATTTTTTACCCCTGTAAAGCACATTTTGAGAAACGCTATTCATTCTGAAAATAAAAATCCATTACGGATTGATTTTGCGTCCCATTTGAAAACCCACTTGCAGGCGGAATATCTTTAAAATGCCTATATATTTTTTTTAAAAAACTACATTTTACCCATTTTCATAGAATTGCAAGGGAACCCTTGAGTCATCTAGTCCAGCCCCCACTTAAAAAAGGCAAAAGGAAAGAAAACTCAAGATGTTTTGCACTAATACCAGCAGAGGTTGTCTTGCTTGGAATACAGAAAACTGGCTTGCCTGAACCCGTTTTTCTTGCTCTCTTTAACCAGCCCAGTACTGAAGTCCCATCATCTGTTGCGGCTTGCAGCCTTTGTTGTTCACCGCCATTGGTTAAGAAGATCTTCCTTCTCCAATTACATTATTCCGGCTGGAAGGTCCCGCCTCCGCACAGGGATTGCGCCGTCGCAGCCACAAATGACGGTTTGTTAACCGTGCAAACCAGCAGAGGGGGTATAGCTCAGTGGTAGAGCATTTGACTGCAGATCAAGAGGTCCCTGGTTCAAATCCGGGTGCCCCCTCAACTAGCTTTTTTTTCTTTTTAAAAAACCATCATCCTACTTAAAAGGCATAACTGGTTTTAATGAAATCTTCTGCAAGATTAATTAAAAAGGGAACGATGCTTTTTCTTTTAGCAAACAATATGGGACGTATATACGCCTGGCTTTAAAAGCAAAGACTTTTGCAACAGCACCACAGTTTTAACATTTGTCTCGTGTGGATGACAAGAAGATATGCTATGCACTGGCTACTCTGCACTTTGTATAGGCTGTGTATAAAATGGTAATTCCAGATCGTAGTCATGTGACTTTTTTTTACATCCTGGGGGTGTATTGCTCTTAAACTCTTTTTTGTGAGCATGCTTAAAGTGTGTGCGTTTTGTGTTCAAAAAAATAATAATGCACGAATAATCAGAGAGAGGGCTGTTTAATTTCAAAGCGGAGATTGAATGGATCGATTCGGATGTCAAGTCAAAAATTGCAAGATATTGAGGAGCTTTAAAGTTGCAATTCTCGCGGCCGCCCAGAGGAGGCGCTAGTTCGCCTTCGGACGGGAGTGGGAGAGATTTGGAGCAAAGAAACAGGCAGGAATCATCATCATCATCATCATCTCTATAAGCGGACCATAAGTAGAAAACTCCACTTTATGAGAGGGATCCTGTAGTTGCATCTGCAAAGACTTTAAAACTCAGGGCCAAACTACTACAAAGGCGTCAGTGCAATGCATGCTTTTTTTGTGATTAGCTAAATGGCAGTGGCGCTTTCATAAACCATAGTTCCAAAATTCTCCCACCACCATCCAAGTTGCTATTTGCCCTAGGAGGAGTAAAAATCAGCTTTATTAGATAAAACTGAGGGCCCCTCTTGACTGACATTTTATAGCTGGTGTATTCTGCCAGAACTTCGTGATACCATTAATACTGCATTTGTGGGGGGGGGGGTCTACTTTTGGGGGGGGGGGTTGGTTGGTACTTTTCTCACTTTATTTCAAATTTTCTGCTGGATTGTTATTTTAAATCCATAATAAAGTCTTGATTTTAAAAAAAAATTGTCCAGGGCTTTTGTTTTTAATTAAATAGCCCTAGCAAAATGTGCTTTCTGACATCCTGTGTGGAACAGAGTTTTCACAATATTATTTGCATAGCAAGATTTATATTTACAGCTTGATTGTAATAAAAACTCAAAGCATTTTCCCTGGCATTCTAACCAACCCCTAACCAGATTCCTTTCGGATCTCCATCACTCACTTTCCGCAGGACTACAGAGACGCAGGAAAGGGAACTCAGGATATCACCCTGACGAGAAGACAAAGAGTTAGGTGAAGAGCAGAGGACATGGGCAGATGAAACTTATGGACTATATGGAATTGGCGGAAATGACTGGTAGAATCCGTGACCAGGGAGAAGAGTCGATGGAGGAAGATTGGAAGAAATTCAAAGACTATCTTCAGAAACATTGCAAAATTAAAGAATGTTAGAGTGATGTTGGACTGAAAATAAGCGGTTTCCAGCTGTACAGGTTAAAGTTAATGATAGACTAAGATTAAAGATTAGGATTAAAGATGTTTAAAGAAATAGAAATTTGACATTAAGAGGGAAAATTTTAATGTTATGTGATATTAAGACCAAAGATCAGGTTTAAAGAAGTTGAAGTAATTTATTTCAATATCTTATTAAAGCTAAAGATTGGGATTAAAAAAGTGGAAAAGAAATTGCTGGACAAACAATTTGGATTGGAATACAAAAGAGGGAGGTATGAGGAAGTCCAGAAAATAAGTAACTAAAAAACGGAAATGGAAAAGAGATATTGTTTTTAATTGTTATGTTTTTTGTTCTTTTATTGTTGAATCTTGGTTTTTTTGTGTGTTTTTGTTATATGTATTGTGTATGTTTTTCTTTTTTTTCTTTGTTGTTCAAAACTTTAATAAAAATTATTAAAAAAAAGAAGAAGAAGAAGAGCAGAGGACATGAACTGAGGTGGAACTAAGAACCAGAGATTATAGTTATAGGTAACAGGTTGATTAGCTGTATGCCACAAATGGGAATAATATATATTAACTTCCCATAGTCTGGCATCGGATCTATAAGAGGCTGGGCAATCCAACACCTGTTGCATACCTACTGCGCATTTAAAGCAAATTACTTCCCCTAAAGAATGCCGGGAACCATAGTATACCCCAACAGAGCTACAATTCGCAGCACCCTTAACAAGCAAAAGTTCCCAGGGTTCTTTGAGTGAAGTCACTTGCTTTAAACGTATAATGCACAGGCATAGAATGTTATAACCCTTGTCAAGAGAGCAGGTGTGACGATGGGCTTGTCACGATTGCACAGTTATGTCCAATGTCTTCATATTTAATTTCTTAACAGGTTAGAGCCTTGCGCTTTTAGAAGATTAGCCCTGGGACCTTGACTGTGGAATGAATGAATGAATGAAGTCAAAAGACTGAAGACCTAGAAAGCGAGGAAAAACACTCGCAAGAAGATCTTGCAAATAAAAATGGAGAATATGGGAAGGTGGGAAATGTAGCAACTAGGAGTCAGTTAACAAAATTCTGCCCTTCAGCTATGGAGGGGAACAAGGAGTGGCAGGAGAAAAAACAGACCGTCCCCAAAGAGGCAAGGCACAGAGACAAAAGGACCAAGCGGTCAGGATGCCGAGCTGAACATCATTAAGCGTCAATCTCAGGAACCATCTAGCTAAATGAACGCCAGTGTCTGACGTCGTCGGTGAGTATTTGAGGTTATTTCTGCTGGCTGTTTTAAGTCCAGGTTCTTGGAGGAAACTGGCCAGAAGGCTTAGTCTGGGGATGGAGAGATTAGCTTGGCTGTACCATATTCTCCAGCATATACGCATCTTCACTTTGGATAGATGAGCTTTGAATGATTTCCTCTTAGGGGAAGGACTTGACGCAGCCGAATTGCAACTTTCTTCTGCTTTGGTTGTGGCATTGATGTTCTGAGGAGGAGCCATGGAGGAGTCGGTCCACATCTGGAGCTTCACAGCAGCTGCGCTTTGTTTTTCCCTTCTGAATTTGGTCTGCGCTTTGGTGAGTCCCTTCCAGCTTGTCTTCCTTGATCACAGCTCATACTTCTTTTAAGGGAAGTCACAAAATGGTAGAGGGCTTGCCTTGCAGGCAGGCAGGTGCCTCATTTAATCCCTGGCATCCCTAGGTAGGGCTGGAGGAGATTCCCTGTCTGTAACCCTGCCCGTCAGTGTTGACACCATGGAGCTACATGGATGCCATGATCTGACACAAAGCCCTTCCAGGTGGGTGTTTTATTGCATTAGTATCATTAGTGCACCCGTTGCAGATTTATTCCACTTTAGTTTGTTTTGCGGCGCTTCCCCTATGCTACCACATGATCACTGCCCGGAGGGGATATAGCACAACGAAAGTAGGACAACAACTGACCGGAAGTGAAGCAGTGTGACAACCCCAAAACTTTTGCATATGCCAACAGCATTGAAAGAGGGACCACCCCGAGTGGTTATGTAAGCTTTCAGAATACTTTGTTGTTGTTTAGTCGTTTAGTCATGTCCGACTCTTCATGACCCCATGGACCAGAGCACGCCAGGCACTCCTGTCTTCCACTGCCTCCCGCAGTTTGGTCAAACTCATGCTGGTAGCTTCGCGAACACTATCCAACCATCTCGTCCTCTGCTGTCCCCTTCTCCTTGTGCCCTCCATCTTTCCCAACATCAGGGTCTTTTCCAGGGAGTCTTCTCTTCTCATGAGGTGGCCAAAGTATTGGAGCCTCAGCTTCAGGATCTGTCCTTCCAGCGAGCACTCAGGGCTGATTTCCTTCAGAATGGATAGGGTTGATCTTCTTGCAGTCCATGGGACTCTCAAGAGTCTCTTCCAGCACCATAATTCAAAAGCATCAATTCTTCGGCGATCAGCCTTCTTTATGGTCCAGCTCTCACTTCCATACATTACTACTGGGGAAACCATAGCTTTAACTATACGGACCTTTGTTGGCAAGGTGATATCTCTGCTTTTTAAGATGCTGTCTAGGTTTGTCATTACTTTTCTCCCAAGAAGCAGGCGTCTTTTAATTTCGTGGCTGTCACCATCTGCAGTGATCATGGAGCCCAAGAAAGTAAAATCTCTCACTGCCTCCATTTCTTCCCCTTCTATTTGCCAGGAGGTGACAACCCCAAAACTTTTGCATATGCCAACAGCATTGAAAGAGGGACCACCCGGAGTGCTTATGTAAGCTTTCAGAATACTTAGAATTAGCCAAACTGACAGACATAATAAGACAAAAACCAAAAAGTGAAGTAAAAAAAAGAATGGGAGTGCCTAAATGAATACCTTAAAAGTCAAGGTTCGAGGAAAGAAATCTGGCTGAGTCTGGAATAACCTTGTGAAGTGAAAGGATAAGAAAGAGGGATATATATCTAGATGTTAGGATAGAGATGATCAGGAAAACAGGAAAACACAATGAGAGATAAAGGAGGTGCTGTGGGATTGGTGGAAGTCAATGTTTGTTTTTCTTTTTAGTGTTTATATTATTAACTTGTAAGATATGGATTAGGTTTTTTTGTTTTTTGAATGTTGATTTTTGTGTTTTGTGTATTGTTATGTTTCGATATTTTTTGTGTTGTTGTTGCGTGGAAAATACTAATAAAATTTACATTATAAAAAAAATATCAGAAAGAAAGAAAGAAAGAAAGAAAGAAAGAAAGAAAGAGGGACCACCCCGGTGGCATAATCACAAATATACAGTACATGAATTCACGACAAAAAAGAACGTCTGAAGGGGGAGAGCCTCCTGTGTTCCTCCTCTCATGGCCTTATGGCAAACATTTGGCCCAATGGCTAGGAACTTTTGCTGCAACCCTCCCCTCCCAGCAACTGAAATGTGGTGACTTCTGTTCCCCCAGACTCAGACAGTAAGAGTTAGTCAGCGAGGTCTTTTGGTGGGGCAAAATGGTGTCACATTAAGACCAGGTTCTAATCATTGCTCAGTCCTGCTGTCTCTCGGAAATCAGAACGACTTACAAATATATATGCGAGAAAGGAAGTTGGAGGGGAACAGAGATGCAGTGAGGCTGTGTGCTCACCATTCATTAAAGCATATGCCCTGAGAATCTTGGGAACCCTAGTTTACCATTAGGTAAAGGTAAAGGGACCCCTGACCATTAGGTCCAGTCGTGGCCGACTCTGGGCTCATCTCGCTTTATTGGCTGAGGGAACCGGCGTACAGCTTCCGGGTCATGTGGCCGGCATGACTAACCCGCTTCTGGCGAACCAGAGCAGCACACAGAAACGCCGTTTACCTTCCCGCCAGAGTGGTACCTATTTATCTACTTGCACTTTGAGGTGCTTTCGAACTGCTAGGTTGGCAGGAGCAGGGACCAAGCAATGGGAGCTCACTCTGTCGCGGGGATTTGAACCACCAACCTTCTGATCGACAAGCCCTAGGCTCTGTGGTTTAACCCACAGTGCCACCCGTGTCCCAGTTTACCATCAGCAGAGCTATAATTCCCAGAACCTTTAACAAACTACACTTCCCAATATTCTTTTTTGGGTGTGTGTGGAATGTGCTTTAAATTCATTGTGTGTATTCAGGCTTCGTTAGGGTCCGGATTTATATGATGATGTATATTACTTCTAACCAGTGCTTTTCCCCCCGGAGGGACGCAGGAGTACACATACCCCTAAAATTTTTGCAAATCTTTGTACTTTTGTTCATTTACTATATTTATTTTCCCTAATTTGAACTATAAAATGGTGGTTTCCTTAAGTCAAAATGAGAGTACCCCTAAACAATGTGTATATATATATATATATATATATATATATATATATATATATGGGAAAGCACTGGTTGTAACTGTTAATTTAATTTAATTTAGATGATGGTGTACGTTACTTCTAAATGTTGTAAGCTATCCCTGTTGCATTGGGGAGGTGGGCTCCTGCCTGTTTTGCTGAGTGCGGCCCTGGGCTTCTGCCCCAAACTTCCACCCTGATGGCAACAGAGCGGGAAAGGTATCATCTGCAGGCTATGCTGGCAGACTTGAACACAAAGCAAACTATGTTTGGTTACATCAGTTCCCAACCAATTCCATGTTTCTGGTCTGCAGAGCTGTTGCTTGCTAACTTTAGCACGGTGCTGTCAAAAGCTGAACGAGACAAAAGACGTCTTGTTCTTGGCTGAGTTAGGCTGCGGTGTGTGGCACTGCAGCCCAAATCAGAGAAGACGAATGACGGCTTGTTAACAGGGTGACGGGTGTAACAGGATGGTGAAGGAATCCTCAAGGTCTGCACAAAAAATATTTCAGAGGTTCAAAGGGGATCTCTCTTTCAACCTTATGAAGCAATGCAGAACTCTCTCATACGCCTTCTTCCAGCCCAGCTTTTCCGGGCAGCACAATTATACCTCTCTGTAACTGTTTTGTTGTTGTTTAGTCGTTTAGTCGTGTCCGACTCTTCATGACCCCATGGACCAGAGCACGCCAGGCACTTCTGTCTTCCACTGCCTCCCACAGTTTAGTCAAACTCATGCTGGTAGCTTCGAGAACACTGTCCAACCATCTCGTCCTCTGTCCTTCCCTTCTCCTTGTGCCCTCCATCTTTCCCAACATCAGGGTCTTTTCCAGGGAGTCTTCTCTTCTCATGAGGTGGCCAAAGTATTGGAGCCTCAGCTTCAGGATCTGTCCTTCCAGTGAGCACTCAGGGCTGATTTCCTTCAGAATGGATAGGTTTGATCTTCTTGCAGTCCATGGGACTCTCAAGAGTCTCCTCCAGCACCATAATTCAAAAGCATCAATTCTTCGGCGATCAGCCTTCTTTATGGTCCAGCTCTCACTTCCATACATCACTACTGGGAAAACCATAGCTTTAACTATACGGACCTTTGTCGGCAAGGTGACGTCTCTGCTTTTTAAGATGCTGTCTAGGTTTGTCATTGCTTTTCTCCCAAGAAGCAGGTGTCTTTTAATTTCGTGGCTGCTGTTAGTTTTAACAATTCTGCGTTGCTGCATCAGAAACTCTCACAGCCATTTCAACGACCGCTTCCCAAATAACAAAACCAAACTCTAAGATTACAAATTCCCCAAAATACCATATGTGTACTCTCCACACCTCCAGCTGAAGCCGGACTTTAGAGACGAAAAGTTGACAGCAATCTCAAAATGGGCTCTAGCTCAGACTTTGCAGAGCCTCGAATGGGAATGAACACCTGGACTGCACATGTACCTTTGCTGCAAGACAGCCTTCCTCAACTTGGGGCCCAGCTGTGCTGACTGGGGTTGATGGGAGTTGTGGTCTAAAACATCTGGATTGGTGGGGGGGGAAGGTTGACGAAAGTTGCTTAATTCTGTGGATGGGAGGATGCTCTCAGTCATTCTGGTAGAGCTGAGAAATAATGGGAAATTTGTGGAAGAAAAAGAAGAAGAGTTTGGATTTGATATCCCACCTTTCACTCCCCTTCAGGAGTCTCAAAGCGGCTAACATTCTCCTTTCCCTTCCACCCCACAACAAACACTCTGTGAGGTGAGTGGGGCTGAGAGACTTCAAAGAAGTGTGACTGGCCCAAGGTCACCCAGCAGCTGCATGTGGAGGAGCGGAGACGCAAACCCGGTTCCCCAGATTATGAGACTACCGCTCTTAACCACTACACCACACTGGCTCTATACCAGTGCTGATATAGGTCCACAAAGACAATGATTTTGCCATCCGATGATACGGTCTTGCAAGATGGACACGAGACTTGAAGACGACGAGGACACCCCAGACACACAGTGAACTCTGAAAAGACCTGTTAGGATGAAAAGACAATTGTCAGTCAACAAGTTGTAGGCAACTTTCCACTGCTGTGACTCTCTTTTCTTTTTTTAATTGTTAATATTTAACTTGCTTTTTTTGTAAATACCTTAAATAAAATGCTACTTTTTTGAGAAAAAAAAAGACAATTTAATATAAATGAGAGCTCAAAGAGGAAGGTGTGACTTTAAAGAAGGCAGCTGTTTTATCCCCACCTTGACATCACACTTGTGTTTTTTGTCCCAGTGCGACATTTTGATCAATTACAAGATGTTGAAAAGGCCCAGCCTCTTATTTTATGACACAGATTTTGATCAGTTCAGATGTGGAAAGCCCAGCATATATTCATTTATGGGGTTTTTTAATCGTTTTCTGATTCTAAAGGTTTGGCTGTGTTGCCTTGATTCCATCTCCTCTTTTAACACCTGGGGCTATAGCAGGTCCTTGTTGTTGCTGCTGCTGTCTCTCCCTGTGTTTGTAGCAGCTCTGGAAATTTCATTATTGATAAGGTCCTTATCGGCCTTCTCAAAATGTCCTGTGCAGATGAGTGATTTAATTGTGGCAGTCACATTTGGGCCTGCTTTCATTGTCTCTAGCCGCCCACTTTTTATGTGGCACGGCTTCTCCATTTCCTGGCAATATTGCAAAGGAAATGAACCGGTCCGTGGCAAATATGAAACAATCTCATAGCCCCTCGTCATAGCTTTTAATACATCCATGTATCCCAGGATGATCCATTAAGGGTTTGCCACTAATGGTCCAGCTCTGCTTTGACATTTCCTCTCGCTTCCCTCTCCCATTGCATACCTGTTTCTTCCAACACATTTCTCCTTGTATTTTCTTACTTTTTAAAAAGTTTATTTGTTTATATTCTTCTAAGTTGATGGGACACCTGGACTCCCATCCTAATTCTGGGCTGCAAGACAGTGAATTTAGCATGCTAAAATGTTCAAGTCATTAAAAAAAAAAAAAAGCCAGGAGGCTGGCTTCCTGATGAAGTAATCGCTTGAAGAGATGGACCATTAAGAGAGCAAAAAGGCAGGGCGATGGCCCATCCTGGAAGCCATCAACAAGGAAAACACTCTCTGCCAGACCACAGAGGGGTAGCAACCCAGCCCTGGGCAAAAGACAATACAGAAGGGAGGAGAGTCAGAATCACAGTGGGCTGGCGTAAGCAAGAGGAGAAATAGATGCGTTAGGGGAAAGCAATTTGCAAGCTGGAGAAAAAGCGGTCATAGCTCAACATGGGCTGATAGTTTGAATCTAACATGGCAGCCATGGGAGAGACGAGACCCTCCTGGAGTGCCCCCCCCAGTGCCCCCCTAGGCTCAGGTTGTAAAGGTAAAGGGACCCCTGACCATTAGTTCTAGTCGCGGATGACTCTGGGGTTGCGGCGCTCATCTCGCTTTACTGGCTGAGAGAGCTAGCGTACAGCTTCCGGGTCATGTGGCCAGCATGACTAAGCCGCTTCTGGCGAACCAGAGCAGCGCACGGAACGCTGTTTACCTTCCCGCCGGAGCAGTACCTATTTATCTACTCGCACTTGACATGCTTTCGAACTGCTAGGTTGGCAGGAGCTGGGACAGAGCAACAAGAGCTCACCCCGTCGTGGGGATTCGAACTGCCGACCTTCTGATTGACAAGTCTTAGGCTCTGTGGTTTAACCCACAGCGCCACCCGTTTCAGGTTGTATATATGTGTAAATGGGACGCGGGTGGTGCTGTGGTCTAAACCACTGAGCCCCTTTGGCTTGCAGATCAGGTTGGTGGTTCAAATCCGAATACATAAAATATTTACATATTTTATCCTTCGAAATGCGCCTTTCTCCAAATTTTGCACACCCAATATAAAAACGCATATATAGATGGGAATAACATACAAAACCATATTACATTTGTGGAATTCCCTTGCAGAAATGCATATATTAGACCAAATTGTGTACAAAAATGCACATTATATATATATATATATATATATATATATATGGATAAATCTGCATAAAAATGAACATGCATTTTAAAAAAAAAGATTGGAAAGGGGGCAAGCTGGATTTAAGTTGCGTAAGAATAGGAAACTAAAAGAAACCAATAATGTCGGATTTGGTCATCCCTAGCCCCAGCCAAGTCAGTGGGAGAGGCGTTGCTGCCACATTCCTGTCTCTGATGTTGCCTGGTGCTGGAGGATCCAAACGGCATGTGGTCCCAGGTGAGCCAATGGACCTCCCAGCCTCATCTCTCCCTTCTTCATTTGTTTGGCAGGTGGACACCGATGATGTTCTAACCAAAGAAGAACAGATTTACTTGCTGAACGAAGCTAAAGAAAAATGTCACCAGCAGATAAATACCCAGAAGGAAACAGTCCAAGGTACCTGCTTTTTCTGCATTTCTAACTTTTGGTGCTGGGGCCCCAAGTGCATAAAAACATTTTTAAAAATGGTTGAGTCATATTATTGACATCGGACATCAAAGGAAAGCATGGCACTTGTTAAATGTTGCCTCCTAAAGGAGGAAGAAAGTCAGACTGGATCACTGGGGATGCCTGTTTTTTTTGTTTTTTTTAATTACTCCTTATCATACCAATAACCTTAGCTTTGTTGTTGTTGTTTAGTCGTTTAGTCGTGTCCAACTCTTCGTGAACCCATGGACCAGAGCACGCCAGGCACTCCTGTCTTCCACTGCCTCCCGCAGTTTGGTCAAACTCATGCTGGTAGCTTCGAGAACACTGTCCAACCATCTCGTCCTCTGTCGTCCCCTTCTCCTTGTGCCCTCCATCTTTCCCAACATCAGGGTCTTTTCCAGGGAGTCTTCTTCTCATGAGGTGGCCAAAGTATTGGAGCCTCAGCTTCAGGATCTGTCCTTCCAGTGAGCACTCAGGGCTGATTTTCTTAAGAATAGATAGGTTTGATCTTCTTGCAGTCCATGGGACTCTCAAGAGTCTCCTCCAGCACCATAATTCAAAAGCATCAATTCTTCAGCCTTCTTTATGGTCCAGCCCTCACTTCCATACATCACTACCGGGAAAACCATGGCTTTAACTATACGGACCTTTGTTGGCAAGGTGATGTCTCTGCTTTTTAAGATGCTGTCTAGGTTTGCCATCGCCTTTCTCCCAAGGAGCAGGCGTCTTTTAATTTCGTGACTGCTGTCACCATCTGCAGTGATCATGGAGCCCAAGAAAGTAAAATCTCTCACTGCCTCCATTTCTTCCCCTTCTATTTGCCAGGAGGTGATGGGCCCAGTGGCCATGATCTTCGTTTTTTTGATGTTGAGCTTCAGACCATTTTTGCGCTCTCCTCTTTCACCCTCCTCACTTTCTGCCATCAAGGTTGTGTCATCTGCATATCTGAGGTTGTTGATATTTCTTCCGGCGATCTTAATTCCGGCTTGGGATTCATCCAGCCCAGCCTTTCGCATGATGTAACCTTAGCTTACTATGATATTATGTCCAGACCCACAAACTGTGTGCCACAGTAAATAAATAAAATGAGGTTTTAGGATTTGGTTGCAAGATGTGTGGGTCAGCAACCTTGCTGAAATGAAGCAGATCTAGGTGTGGATTGGAGACATCTTGTGAATCTCACGTGCACCACTTTGTATTTCATAATGAAACATATTGGCCTGTCTAGTTTATTATTGTCCACACTGGCTGGCCTCAGACACAGAGCTTCATAAAGAGTCTTTCTCAGCCTAGACTGGAGAAACCGAGGATTGATACATGGATCCTGCTGCCTGCAAAGGCCCTTCTCCTAAGCTGCCGTCCTTCCTAAACTCTGGAAGAAAGGTGGAGAAGAAACACAACATAATAAATAAAATAATGTAAAAGCTGTTGTCAACCCAAATGACCTCTTAGCAGAATAGAAAATTACCCATCGCATCTTCAAGCGAGTCACTGGGTGGCTGGTCTTTGCTTCCTTCCAATCAGCCTTCTATTGACAGCAGAAACGCTGTTTGAGTTGACCTGTGTCCCCTTCAAAAGTGTGGCACTCAGAGTCTGATCACAGGGCCGGCCCTATCATTGGGGAGAGTGAGATGACTGGTTTTGGGTGCCGGGAAAGGGCAGCAATAGTTAGCTGATTTGGTGTGTCATGAAAGAGGAGCGGTGGTTATTTATTTAACTTATTATTGCTTTATCTATTCACATTTGTCAGAGTTGAAAATCTCTGTTCGCTAACTGGAGATGTAATGAGACTGAGGGTATGTTCTATCATATGTAGTAGACCTGTAAAAGTGCAAAAGAGTATTGGGAAATACTTTATAATAAACTGAAAAAAAATGTTTAAAAATACTTCCCCCCCAAAAAAACCAGAGTCCTTTTTGTTGGGGAGAACGCAAGCGGAAATTCCCAGATGTCAAAAAGGCTATTTATGTATGCCACCACTGCAGCCCGTGTTTTGTTAGCCCAAAAATGGAAAATGAGAGGCAACTTAAACTGATGGAATATGCGCAGCTTGCGGACCTAACATATATAGATAAGAGAACAAGAAGAACATACATTTAAAGAAGATTGGAAAATGTTTATTGAATATGTGGAGGAAAATTGTGTATATCTGAAAACATGGGCACCGTTAAGAAAAATTCAACAGTGTAAATAAGTTTTGATGGATGTTATAATGGAATACTGATTGGTTTAGTTTATCTAAAATATGCAGGGATTTATGTTGTGCAAAATGAACCGTGGAAAGAGAGGAAGGGAAGTCACTGATATTTTAAGATTGTTTAAGTGAATATTCTAAAATGTAAAACAGAAATTTAATAGAAATAATAATAATAAAAAGAAAATCCCTGTTCACAACAATTTGTTGTGGAGAGCTGTAGAAGAATAGCCAATGCTCTTGAATATCTATCCATCTTCTGCAAATAAATAAATAAATAAATATTTAGATACTATGCTATACTACACTGAAATGTTTACGTGCTTCTTTGATTTTGCTTGAGTCTTCCTGCTACGCTTGCCATCCTCTCCTGCCACACCCTTTGAGATCCACTGACTTAACCCAAGGATGAAGGTTGCTCTCCTCTGCCCCCCTCAACGCTATCATGCAAAGTTGTGATTAATGTGCCATTTCCTCGTTAGATGGCAACTGTTTGCCTGAGTGGGATGGGATTATTTGCTGGCCCGAAAGCCTCCCCAGCAAAAAGGTGGCCGTCCGATGCCCTGACTACGTCTATGACTTCAACCATCAAGGTATGTACGTTTTCTCGGCCTTCACAGAAAGCTTCAGGTCTTTTGGTTGTTTAGGGCTGAAGCAGATGCTAAAATGCCTCTTTGCCATTTAACATGCTGGTTGTTGTTGTTGTGTGTGTGTGTGTTTAAATATTTTTTATTAAACAATTCCAACATAACAAATTGTCAATCCATATAATCACATACATTATTCCCCCCCCCCTTTTCCCCACTCCCCTTTAATCTTCCCCCCAGGACTTCCCTCAGCTCCTCTCTCTGATTTCTTAAGGAAATTGTCTAAAAAATCTCTAAAAAGACAACAAAATGAACTGGTCTCCTTGGCAGGTTTTGAATAAACATGCACAAATTTATTGGTTGATTACATGATAGATAAGGCAAGGGTATGTATAATTTTATAACATGCAGAGAATAATGTGTGTGTGTGTGTGTGTGTGTGTGTTTAATGCAAACAGAACCAGATTTTTGGCAGGGAGGATGTCTCTTAATGACTGTGATTGCAGGAAGGGTGGAGGAGCATTTAATACTGAGGAAAATCCCTGAGGAAAATCCCTCCTCAAGAAGGTGTTGTTTGCTTTTGGAGAAAATCTTCTCGCCCTCCTCCCATCGGGTGCCAGTGAAGGATTCTGCTCCCAGCAAATACCATCTTTCCTCAGGACCTCAGCAGGGGAACAAAAGGTTATATTCCCCCTCCCCGCCTGCTGCAATCTTGATAATAATCAGCCCATCTCCAGCTGATGTTATTTGCATTATTTAAAAACAACACATCCGGTCAAGTTTGGCCCATAGCAGCAGGAGGCTGGTAAACAGGCCAGATCCTTCTTAAGAACCATTAGGAAATAATAACAATTTAACTGGTTTTAGGAGATGATGTTTTGGAGTGTGTGGAGGTTCGTCTTGCTTGTTGAGAAGTCAGGGTGACCGTTCCTTCTTTTTTAAAAAAAGGAGATACCTTGCAAGAAAGTCATTGCTTGGAGGCCTTCCACTCTGTCTTCCATGAACATGGTTTTGACAGTGGGTCCGTAAGTGACCGTGGAGGCCAATTCTGGATCCACACGTCCTTCCTCAGTGGGGACATAGGTTTTCATGCGGGAGTTGATCGCGGTGAGGGTTTGCCAAGCGTGCCTTCCTCTTTGCACGTTTCTCCCTTGCGTCCTGAGTTTAAGCGTCTTCAAAGCCCACGACACCTTTGGTAAAGGCTGTTCTCCAACTGGAGCGCTTGCAGGCCAGTGTTTCCCAATTGCCGGTGTTTATACAGTGGTACCTCGGATTAAGTACTTAATTCGTTCCGGAGGTCCGTTCTTAACCTGAAATTGTTCTTAACCTGAAGCACCACTTTAACTAATGGGGTTTCCTGCTGCGCCGCCGGAGCACAATTTCTGTTCTCATCCTGAAGCAAAGTTCTTAACCCGAGGTAATATTTCTGGGTTAGCGGAGTCTGTAACCTGAAGCGTATGTAACCCGAGGTACCACTGTACTACATTTTTAAAGATTTGCCTTGAGAGAGTCTTTAAACCTCTTTTTGCTGATCACCAGCATTACGCTTTCCATTTTTAAGTTCGGAATAGAGCAGTACACTCTACACTTGCTCAGAAGCAGTTTTTTGTTTTGTTTAATTTATAATAATTTCTAAACCACATAATCATAGAATTGTAGAATTGGAAGGGACCCCGAGGGTCATCTAGTTCAAATCCCTGCAATGCAAATACAGTGGTACCTCGGGTTAAGTACTTAATTCGTTCTGGAGGTCCGTTCTTAACCTGAAACTGTTCTTAACCTGAAGCACCACTTTAGCTAATGGGGCCTCCTGCTGCTGCCGCGCCGCTGGAGCACAATTTCTGTTCTCATCCCGAAGCAAAGTTCTTAACCCGAGGTAATATTTCTGGGTTAGCAGAGTCTGTAACCTGAAGCGTATGTAACCCGAGGTACCACTGTAAACAAAAGCCCCTAGGCGGTTTATTTCCTCTGGGGCCTCTGGCCTTTTAAAAAATGTGCAACTGTTCAGCCTTGCTGGCATCTTCCCCTTCACACGTTCCGCTCCATCTCATTGGACGCTCTGCCTGTCCTTTATTTCAGGTCATGCCTACAGGCGCTGTGATGTTTACGGGAACTGGGAACTGGTGCCCAACATGAACAAGACTTGGGCCAATTACACAGAATGCGCCATATTCTTTGCCCCGGAACGGCAGAATCAAGAAAAGGTTTAATTCCTAAGCAGGGGGGAAAGGGTATCGGGAGGACACAGAGGCTTGTGGAATTGGGTACCACAGGCAGGATTTGAAGGACAGGGAAGGGAAGGGAGGAATCTATTGAGATTGGAATTTCTCATAAAAATTGTGCCATAAAGCAGGGGTGATGAATCTGTGGCCTGGCAGGTGTTGAACTCCCATTATTCCTGACCAGTAGCTACGCTGGTTGGCAATGATGGGAGTTGAGGTCCAACAACACTGATTTCAGAACTAGATGGGATCCTTTCCGGCTCTGTTGTTGTTTAGTCGTTTAGTCGTGTCCGACTCTTCGTAACCCCATGGACCAGAGCACGCCAGGCACTCTTGTCTTCCACTGCCTCCCGCAGTTTGGTCAAACTCATGCTGGTAGCTTCGAGAACACTGTCCAACCATCTCGTTCTCTGTCGTCCCCTTCTCCTTGTGCCCTCCATCTTTCCCACCATCAGGGTCTTTTCCAGGGAGCCTTCTCTTCTCATGAGGGGGCCAAAGTATTGGAGTCTCAGCTTCAGGATCTGTCCTTCCTGTGAGCACTCAGGGCTGATTTCCTTCAGAATGGAGAGGTTTGCTCTTCTTGCAGTCCATGGGACTCTCAAGAGTCTCCTCCAGCACCATAATTCAAAAGCTCTACAGCTCTGTAATTTTAACATCCGGACAGCCACAGGTTCTCCATCCTTTCCGTAAAGGCTGACAAGGGATGAGCATATGGAAATCAAATTGCAGAAGGAAATGAGGATATTTGGCCGGGGGGGGGGGGGCGGAACGGACTGAGGGAAGATAATCTGATCATTTCCAAAGATTTAAAAATAACCTCCCCAAAGGTGGTAGGGGTGGGATGCAATTGCTCACCCCATTTCCTATATTATCTGATAATTACACATCTGAAATGTTATAATTATCTACCGCAAGCAGAGAAGTAGCGTGTGTACTTTGAAATATCAATCAACAAAGCAAATCAGTGTTGCTCACCATAATTGTAGTCAACGTAATGAAACAAATATTGGAGAAAAAGAGAGACAGAGTGGCCAGACTGTTGTTTGGTTCCTAAGCCATTAAAGCAGGTGTCAACAAACTTTTTCAGCAGGGGGTCGGTCCACTGTCCCTCAGACCTTGTGGGGGGCCGGACTATTTTTTTGGGGGGGGAAATGAACGAATTCCTATGCCCCACAAATAACCCAGAGATGCATTTTAAATAAAAGCACACATTCTACTAATGTAAAAACACTAGGCAGGCCCCACAAATAACCCAGAAATGCATTTTAAATAAAAGGACACATTCTACTCATGTAAAAACACGCTGATTCCCGGATCGTCTGCGGGTCGGATTGAGAAGGCGATTGGGCCGCGTCTGGCCCCCGGGCCTTAGTTTGCCTACCCATGCATTAAAGGTTCAGGCTAGCACTTTGAAACTTACTGGGAGCCAGCGAAGCTGTCGCCCCTTGCCCAGTCCCTCTTTGCAATCTGGCCACAAAGCCAGGGGCGAGTTGCAGTTTTTGAACTGTCTTCAACGGCAGCCCCATGCAAATTTGCCACTGCTTTAAGAGCATACCTTCAACAAGGTACCAGCAACTGGGGAACATAATTAGGTGGCAGAACTGTCTTCTTCAGAAAGTTGCACAAGAAAACTCCAACAGCTGGAGGATATTCTATTTTGGAAAAGGGAAAGTGCTTTAGATGGGGGTTCTTGACGTGGCGGAGCAAGTTGTGACAATGGCTGTGCAGTCCTTCTGTGCTGGAATGCCTCTCTTTTCCTCACGCAGGAAGTGTTTGACAGGCTGCGCATCATCTACACCGTTGGCTACTCCATCTCCCTTGCCTCCCTTGTGGTCGCCATGTGCATCCTTTGCTACTTCAAGTAAGGAGGGCAGTTCTTATTGATTCAATGCCCCATCCCACCCCCTGAACTCTAACCCATGACCTTATTCTACAGTGGTACCTCGGGTTAAGAACTTAATTCGTTCCGGAGGTCCGTTTTTAACCTGAAACTGTTCTTAACCTGAGCTGCCACTTTAGCTAATGGGGCCTCCCACTGCTACTGCCACCGCAGTGCGATTTCTGTTCTAATCCTGAAGCAAAGTTCTTAACCCGAGGTACTATTTCTGGGTTAGCAGAGTCTGTAACCTGAAGCATCTGTAACCTGAGGTACCACTGTACTAATCATGGCCAGCAAAACTAAGAGAAAAACTATCTTGGTTTGGTTTCCTATGTGTGGTGGGGTAGACTTGGCTTGGGGCGGGGCCTGACAGGCTCCATAAAGGACTGCTGCTGGGCTGAGAGGGCTCCGTTTTTGTTTCTTAAATTGCTTTTATTTTTTATCTATGTAATTTTAAATTGTGATTGATATTGTATTCTTAGTTTCAGATTTTATGATTTATGTGGAAATTGTTTTCCATTTGGTTGTGTACTTTCTGATGAGCTTTATTTATTGCTTATGACTTTTGTTATGTTGGTAATTATGTAAATCATGTCATGCTGTAAGCTGCCTTGAGCATTGTTTTAACTATGGAAAGGCGGCGTACAAATAAAATGATAATGATGATGAATTTGCTTACAGAACCTCAGGTAAGTACAGGTGGTGGCAAGATAGTTCTGTTCTCCCAAGGCAAATAATAATAATAATAATAATAATAATAATAATAATAATAGCTTTTTCTGGGGGGAAGCAGGGGTATGCATACCCCTAAACATTTTGTGAATCTTTGTACTTTTGTACATGTGCTGTATTTATTTCCCCCGGTTTGAACTATAAAATGGTCATTTTCTTGAGTCAAAATGAGAGTACCCCTAAATATTTTTTTTTAAAATAACAACACTTATCATCATTATCATTCTTAATTTATATACCACCCTTCATCATAAGATCTCAGGGTGGTCACAGAATAAAATAGAAGATAAAAACACAAGTAAAAACAGCAAAACAATAACCCTCCCTTCCCACAGTTACATTTAAAAGCCTGTAGAATATTAATCCGCCAAAGGCCTGATTGAAGAGGAATGTTTTTGCCTGGCGCCTTCTCAATAGAAGGTTGCTGTTGTTGTTTAGTCGTTTAGTCGTGTCCGACTCTTCGTGACCTCATGAACCAGAGCACACCAGGCACTCCTGTCTTCCACTGCCTCCCGCAGTTTAGTCAAACTCATGCTGGTAGCTTTGAGAACACTGTCCAACCATCTCATCCTCTGTCCTCCCCTTCTCCTTGTGCCCTCCATCTTTCCCAACATCAGGGTCTTTTCCAGGGAGTCTTCTCTTCTCATGAGGTGGCCAAAGTACTGGAGCCTCAGCTTCACGATCTGTCCTTCCAGTGAGCACTCAGGGCTGATTTCCTTCAGAATGGATAGGTTTGATCTTCTTGCAGTCCATGGGACTCTCAAGAGTCTCCTCCAGCACCACAATAGAAGGTGGAATCATGTAATAATAAGGAGCACAGCTGCTCATTATTTTGGTTATCTCATACTATTTTCTCCCGGCAGTGTCGTTTGGTGTTTAGAGTTCCAGACTAAGAATGGGGAGAGACCCAGGTTCAAAACCCTTCTCAGCCATAGATTGGGGTGTGTGATGGGGGCCAATCACACCCTCTTTCTCAGCCTAGCCTACTTCACAGTCATTGCTGGGATAAAAGGATGGTGTGGAAAATACGCATGGTACCTTGGAAGAGTGGGCAGGATTAAGACATAACATATAAATAAATTGAAACCCTCCGCTTATTAATGTGTCTTTAAGGCGGCTTCACTGCACCCGAAATTACATCCACCTCCATCTCTTTGCCTCCTTCGTCTGCCGAGCTGTGAGCATCTTTGTGAAGGATCTCGTGCTGTACTCGACCTTGCGACTTGAGGGGCTGCAAAAAACACAGGACAGTGACTGGGATGCTGAAGATCTGAGCCTTGCCTTGGGATCCAGGACCCAGCTAGTAAGTCCCTAGTGTTTAGGTTTTGTTTCCCTCTTCTCGGTGTCTATTAAGAAGTGCGATGTGTGCCTTGGCTTAAAATCTTCCTGGAAGTTTTAGGGAACAAGGATACAGATTTCAGAACAGTCAGCTCAAGATGGTTTCCACACACACACACACACACACACACACACACACACACATATATATATATATATATCCTGCCAACCTAGCAGTTTGAAAGCACAGCAAAGTGCAAGTAGATAAATAGGTACCACTCCGGCGGGAAGGTAAACGGCGTTTCCATGCGCTGCTCTGGTTCGCCAGAAGTGGCTTAGTCATGCTGGCCACATGACCCGGAAGCTGTACGTCGGCTCCCTCGGCCAATAAAGCGAGATGAGCGCCGCAACCCCAGAGTCGGCCACGACTGGACCTAATGGTCAGGGGTCCCTTTACCTTTATATATATATATATTTTTCTTATACAATGTTTTGGACTTCCATCAACCACAGCTGGAGATTTTTCAATCTTTATCACTTTATCTACATTTCATTAATTTCCTTATTACTTTTAATAATCCTTAACCAATAATTCTCTTCTCAAATCTTCTCTGCAATATTTCACATAATCCTCTTTGCAAAACTTCTTGCAATCCTACTAGCGTAATCTGTTTATTACAATTGATTTTCAAATAGTTCAAATATTTACTCCAGTCCTCTGAGAATCTCTGGTCCTGCAGGTTTCAAATCCTTCCTGTCATCTTATCTAATGGTTTCCTAATCAAAAATAATAATTAAAAAACCCAGCATTTTAAATTAATCAGCATTCCAGTTCTGAAAGAAAGAAAAAGTGAGATGGTGATCTCTTGGACTTGAATGCTGTTAATCTGCCTGTTCCTCCTATTAACCTCTAGTTAAGCAGCAGGAACAACAACTATTAACCAAAAAACCTTGCAAAATATTTGAGTGTAACCAGTGGGGGTTGTCCAAAACTTGGTCCTAAGAAGAAAAAAGATATGATACCTTTTTATCAATGGATTGACAATATGACAAACATTCACAACTTATGAACGGACTGCTTACAGGCGCAGACTTTGCTTGGATAACTACGATAACATTTGGAATGAGTTTCTACAGAATGCTGCAGGCTATTAACTACATAAGTATTAGGATAATAACACTGTATTGATTTATATAAGAATGTACGGAAGTATCTTAGATTGCATTTTTATATATGGGTTTTCCTTTCTTATAATCACCTTCGGTTTTTTATTCATTTTTTCTTCCGTTTTTTCTGTATCGCTTTATTTCTTTACAATTGAAATTATTTCAGTAAAATACACCAAAGAAACACAAAATACTTTTTATTGGTCCTAACAACTACCACCACCAAAAAGGATGTTTGCTTCTCCGTTCTTTCAGGCAGGCTGCAAGGTAGCTGTGACCATCTTCCTCTATTTCTTGGCTACAAATCACTACTGGATCTTGGTGGAAGGTCTCTATCTCCACAGCTTGATCTTCATGGCTTTCCTCTCAAACAAAAGCTACTTGTGGGCTCTTACACTCATCGGGTGGGGTAAGCACAGTCCAGTTCAGTCTCTCAGCTCCTGCTCTGACTATGAACCTACACAGGGAAGCTCAAACAGGGCAAGTGAAGGTCACAAGAGGTTGCCCCTGTATTCCCCAGAGTGGCTGGGGAAACCCAGCCAGATGGGCAGGGTATAAATAATAAATTATTATTATTTGAAAGGTCTCTCTCACCTCCTGTAACCACAGCTCTCTTTGACGATGCGTTTCCCTTCCTACCACCCATCATGTGGCACAGAGGACGCGGGTGGCGCTGTGGTCTAAACCACTGAGCCTCTTGGGCTTGCCGATCAGAAGTTCGGCAGTTCAAATCCCTGTGACAGAGTGAGCTCCTGTTGCTCTGTCCCTGCTCCTGCAAACCTAGCAGTTTGAAAGCATGCCAGTGCAAGTAGATAAATAGGTACTGCTGAGGCGGGAAGGTAAACGGCGTTTCTGTGTGCTCTGGTTTCTGTCACGATCTCCCGTTGTGCCAGAAGCGGTTTAGTCATGCGGGCCACGTGACCCGGAAAGCTGTCTGTGGACAAACGCCGGCTCCCTCGGCTGGAAAGTGAGATGAGCGCTGCAACCCCATTGTCGCCTTTGACTGGACTTAACAGTCCAGGGGTCCTTTAGCACAGAGGGTGAGGTACGGTGGCCCAATGGATAGGCCCCCTGCACCATTCATAGTTGTGTAGAAGTGGGAACTTGTATGGCACATACAAAGTCAGTGAATACTAGAGTAGCAAGCATGGAGCCCTCCTGATGTTGTTGAACTCCAGTTCCCATCAGCCTTGCCAGCCAGCAAGGGCATTGGTCAGGGATGACATCACAAGACTGGTTTGATGCAAAGGAACGGTGGGAGGATCTAGCTGGGGAAGAAGGGAAGAAGGTTCAGAGCCACGGGAGTGGTGGTGGGACAATGATGGGTAGTCACAGGGAGAATACTGGGAAGAGGAGGTGTCGGAAGCTGAAGAGGTCACAGGGTTTAGTGAGCGGGGAGAATCTGTGGCAGAGAGAAGTTCAGACTCAGAGGCAGAAGCTGAAGCAGTAGAGGAGGGAGGCCAAGAAATGGAGATGGGTCTATCTGGTGAAGAGGCAGGGGTGTCCTCCCCTCCTGCTGCAACAAGCTCCTCTCTCCCTCAGTCTCTCAGACCCAGGAGAAGCATGAAGAGGGGGGAGGAGAAGTTAGCTTCAGCAGGCACAGTCTCAGATTGCTGGGGGGAAACCCTGGAGAGGAGGGGATTTGGGCAGCTGTGGGGAGTCTCAGCAACTGCTTCATGGGGGCAAGACCTGCCAGAGAGGAGTTGCTGCGCTCATTGGGCCTGATACTCCTGTTTTTGCTCATGAAGAGTTAACTCCAACTTGCTCAGTGTGATTTACTGCTGGCTGGCTCCTGTCTTGACGATGGGAGTTGTGGTCCAACAACATCAGCAAGGTACTATGTAGCCGCCTCCTGGTGTATACTATTGGCCTCACATTTTCTCCTACTGTCCTTTTAAGAGCTCACTGGAAACCCAGATCTCTTTCTGCTTGCTTTTCTTTTTCTTTTTCCTTCGAGGGGTACCTGCTGTCATTGTGTCTGTTTGGGCCAGCGTCAGAGCATCCCTGGCTGATACACAGTATGTACTTTCTGCTTCTCTTAAAACACTATTCAGGGATATTGGGCAGGATGTGTTAGTGAGGAGAGGGTAAATTAATTGCTTTAGCCACTACCGTATAGGAACAGATTTTTAGATCTAATTTGCTTTTTTGTATCCCAAATGTTATGTGTGGACCTGATATAGAGAGCTGCTTTCCCCCCTGCATTAAAGAATATAATCTTCACAACCCCCCCCCCAAAAAAAACAACCCCACCCCTATACCTAGTCCATCTTTTATACAGGTACTAGCAAAATACGTGCTATAGTTCATAGATGGCCGAGTTTTGCAACAACAAAACAAATTGTAGTAACACAAACCTCATGTCCAACTTAGGAATGCCGTAGTCTAGTGTATGTAATTCAGGCCGGTGGTTTTACAGGAGTAATGCCTGGATCTGAACCTCTCTAGTTTGAATCTTACTTCTGTCACGGGTTCATTAGGTGCTATTTGGTAAGCCACTCTCTTGGCCTCAAATATCAAAACTGACATATTGGGACAAGCATACTTGGACCTCCCTTGCAGGGTTGGTGATAACGATCACAGTATTTACCTGTTTAAAATGTCCTGTAAATGATTTGAATTTCTTAAGGCTGAAAGAAGCCAAAATGTCCTGAAGCTCAGAAACTCAAAAGCTGACCGATTCCTATTCTCTTCAGTAGCATAAGCTATAGGGACGCGGGTGGCTCTGTGGGTTAAACCACAGAGCCTAGGACTTGCCGATCAGAAGGTCGGCGGTTCGAATCCCCGCGATGGGGTGAGCTCCCGTTGCTTGGTCCCTGCTCCTGCCAACCTAGCAGTTCAAAAGCACGTCAAAGTGCAAGTAGATCAATAGGTACTGCTACTGCAGGAAGGTAAATGGCGTTTCCGTGTGCTGCTCTGGTTCGCCAGAAGCGGCTTAGTCATGCTGGCCACATGACCCGGAAGCTGCTCCCTTGGCCAATAAAGCGAGATGAGCGCCACAACCGCAGAGTCTGCCACGACTGGACCTAATGGTCAGGGGTCCCTTTACCTTTACCTAGCATAAGCTATGTGCTATGCCATGTTTTTAATGCTGTGGACAACCCCGGGACCTTAGCGTGAAGGACAGGTAATGAAAAAATGAATAATAATCACGCAAAAAGGACTTGAGGCTCAAAGGTGTCAGGCGAGAGACCCAATATGGATATACCCCTTTGGTGCTTAACTTCAGCCTCTCCTCATCAGGTGCTGGGACCTCAGCGCTGGAAACATGAAATGGATCTACCAAGTTCCTATCTTGGCAGCAGTTGTGGTAAGATAAGAAGGGCACAAAGAGAGTACGAGACCACCAGCTTGCTGAAGCTAAGCAGGCCTGTGGGACTGATCAGCAGCTGGATGGGCGACCACCTGGGAACCACGTTTCCTGCCATGGGCTCTGTGATGGAAGGATTTGGAAAATGAATTTTAAAAATGCAAATTAGGGTGGGCTGGGAAGCAGGCAGTCAAGGTGTCCTTTGGGCCTGTTGCCGAACCACTTTGTAACTAATGAAAATCAGTTGAAAATAAAAAAAATGAAAATGTCTTCTTCCATATAAATCCTGCACTTGAGTTTTAAGATCAGCCCACGTGGTCTTGCAAAGGGTAGCATCTTTTGTGGATGGTAGTTTAGCACCCATTAGATGCAGAGTATTTGTAGCTGCTGCCTTTGTGTTATGGAATGCCTGCCCCCAGAAACATCACTTCGTCCCTCCTCTTTTCAAAGGCGGGGGACGATGACCCCATTCTTATTATACTGGCATTCTGCAAATTGTGCCCTCAATAGCACAGGCAGTGGTTCAGAAGCTGCAGATGCGTTTGAGTTGGTTTTGTTTGGTTTGTTTATTACTGATTGTATTGGTTGTTATTTGGTTTTTTAATGATTGCTGATCATCGCCACGTGATTTTTTTGAGTTGTGTTCAATTAACTTTTATCCCGAGTTAGACCCATTAGAATTAATGACCACGAGTCACTTAGGCCCATTAATTTCAACAGGTCTACTCTGAGTAAAAATAGTTTGGCTACAACCCATATGGGCCAACAGCAGAAATGCATTCTCTATAACACAGCAAATAAAAGGGAATTGATGAATGGCATTTCACTGGCATGGAAAATGCCTGGCGCGACACGAAGTGTCTTTTTATTGCTGGCAGGTGAACTTTTTCCTCTTCCTCAACATTGTGAGAGTTCTTGCATCGAAGTTGTGGGAGACAAATACAGGGAAATTAGATCCCCGCCAACAGTACAGGTATGTAGCTTGGAGCAGCTGAAACAGACCTCCCAGTGTTAGCACTACAATGAATAAATACTCTCTTACTGAAATATGTCCCCCTTTATTAATGCTGTGTTAATTTCTGATTGCCTGGAATACTGAAACTTCTTCCATGCTGGATTTCTGTCCTGCTATGTTCTTCATCTTCATTTGACTTAAAGCTGGTTCTTGCTCTTTATCAGATCATTTATCTGTGTTATTATGGTGGTTTCCTCTTATGTGGCATCTTCTTCAAGCTTCTACCCTTTTAAGGTCTCCACCCATTCTTGCCTCCCTTACTCCCCATCACGGGCCCTTCAGCTCTCCTCTTGGACGATCCAAAAATGGAATGACTGCACAAAATCCCTTTCCTTCCAGGAAGTTACTAAAATCCACCCTTGTTCTGATGCCCCTCTTTGGTGTTCATTACGTGGTGTTCATGGCCATTCCTTACACAGCTGTGTCCAGTGTCCTCTGGCAAATACAGATGCACTACGAGATGCTCTTCAATTCTTTACAGGTGGGTCTTCATGGCGGGTGAAGCCTTTTGTGTTTGATCCATTCAGTCACAGCTATTTCCATCTATGGTTGTCTCTTTTTTTCTATCGACAGGGTTTCTTTGTGGCTTTCATTTACTGTTTCTGCAATGGCGAGGTAAGGAACATTTCTTCCGAGATGCACGAATATTTAGCTGCGATCCTCTCTTCACTGGGTGTATTCTGCACCTAGTGCACGGGGAGGGGTCAACCTCCTTCCCCATGCCCGGTATTTCTTCTGCCTGGAGAATATGGTTGTGATTATTTCGTTTCCAAAATGGAAAATATTTCCCAACACCTATGCCCTTTGATATGGTATCCTCCTGATCTTTTATGTACAGGGGGCATTGGAGTTACTCAATGACTAAGAGCACTCTCTGAGTGGTCAGATACACAGCATGGGCCTTAATGGAATTAGGCACCTCCCCTTTCATAGAACAGTTCGGGAATGGGGGTAGCATCCCACCCATATGCTCTTAGCTGGTGCAAAACTGAAACTTTTTCATACTGGAGAAGAGAGGGAAAGAAATTGGACTGTAGCAGGGATGGGCAGTTAATAAGCCATTGTTCTGCTTTTACCAGCTGTCGAAGTACAGTGGGTGCTCGGGTTGTGAACGTGATCCGTGCGGGATGCACGTTCGCAACCCACAGCGGCACGTCTGTGCACGCGCAGGTTGCAATTCGGCGCTTCTGCGCATCCGCCGAAACCCAGAAGTAACCCGTTCCAGTACTTCTGGGTTTCGGTGGTCCGTAACCTGAAAAAACGCAACCTGAAGAGTCTGTAACTCAAGGTATGACTGTACTGAGAATGAGCAGGCGGGCGGTGGTCTTTTTCTAAGTTGCATTCCCTTAACAGTCTGCCTCTACCGCCAGGTGCAAGCAGAAATTAAAAAAGACCGTTTCCGGAGAAACCTGGTGCTGGACATAAAGCAGAAGACCCGAGCTGCCAGCGCAGGTGGGAGCTACTCCTACGGCGGGCTTGTGTCCCATGCCACCAACAGCGTCAGCTTGAGTATGGCCAGCTGGGGGGTGACTTCTGCAGCAGTCGTTGCCATGCCTCTTGGTGCCAAAAACTGGCTGATCCACCTTGCCCCCACTGCTGCTGCCCCAGAGTACACCCCGGCTTCCTCCACCTTGGATAATTCTCCAAGTCAGGAGATGATGCAGAAGGTCCTTGAGGAGAACATCGGTGCTACAGCCTTGGAGGGGAAGCACTCCTGCTTGAAAAAAGAGCTGGAGACCATGCTATGAAAGGGAACAGAGAAAATGTAATTTTCTAGGATCAAAGTAACTAGGCGAGTGAACTGTCTAAGTTTCAATCTTGAGCCAGGTACCACTATAGCGATTAGGAAGTCTTTATTCTACTACTTACGTCAGTATGGAAAAAGGGTTCCAAGTATTTGCCATTTCAGATTGGTTTAAGCTTGGTTCTGGATGCTGAAGGGTAATGAGGGAGGTAGTGGTTAGGTGGATTGAATTGTTCTGGTTAGTTCGATCTGCAAAGCACATGACACGCCTTTTCAGAAATTCCAATCGTCCAAAATATATCCATCTCCCCACCTCACTTTCAGCCTCCTCAGCAGCAATAAGCAAGCAAAGGAACCATTCCTATTCCCATTTTCTGCTGTGTTGTGTTTCATCTGTGTTAAAATAAGGCTTTTGTTAGTTGATTGCAACCCCAATTTCAGTAAGTAGGCACTGAGTGTTAAGAGCAAAGGTGTTGTTGTTTTTTTAAGGCTATTTTGATGTAGTGCTAACATGAGAAATAAAATATTAAAGCTGGTGTTTCCTTCTAACGAGTAGTACTTTTTGCTTAGTCCAAATACTCTCAATAGCTCTAAAGGCATCACTATCGAGACTGACAAAGGCAAGTTTACTCAACCACCAATTCCTGTAATTAGGTGATAGCCCTGATTCTGTTTTACAGAATGGATTTTTTTTTAAAAAGTGTTCAAACAAGCTTGCCATTTTTCTGCAAATCACCCCCCGCAATATGAGAGGAAGTAACAGCTTACTACTTTGCTGTCTCAGAACCAAAGCAACTGCTCTTGCAGTGAACAACTGGGCAGGATTAGATGAGACGTGAGAAATTCTCAAACATAGGCATACTTTGGTTCAGCACCTTGCAGAATACCTGTCCAAGGTAACTATGGGATCACTTTTTCTTTACCATCCAACTTGCATTTTGAAACACACAGTTGTTGCTTTGGAATATAACAAAATGATGCTGAGAGAGACAATTTACAAGGAAAAGCAGTTCGTAGCAAGAGGCGTGCTTAACCTTGTGGGGTAACAGACTTGAGCAAACGTGGCAAGGAGTATGTTGCAGAAGGTGGCAAAAAAACTCTCAGGGTCCCCGGGCCAATTTGATGTGGGCAAGGAAAAAAATCCCTTTCTGATTCCCCCCTCCCCAATTAGAGCAGTCAAAGGTGATGTTGTTTTTAAAGGCTATTTTGATGTAGTGCAAACATGAGAAATAAAATTATTAAAGCTGGTGTTTCCTTCTAACAACGAGTAGTACTTTTTGCCCACAAAACCAACTTATGAGTAAAAGAATATAGGCCAAAATAAACAGGCACATCCCAGGCAATTGTCCTTGTAATAAAACATTTACTAGAAGAGAAAGCGGAAAGTAAAGGGAACAGCATGTCACAGAATCCTGACAGTTTCAAGATACTTCTTCATAAAAATGAGAAGCAAGAAGTGAACTATTTTCAGCAAACAAGATTTTTCTACCACTCTGGCAAAAAAGAAAAAGAAAAAAGAATCTGATTAAAGAGCCCAAGAACACACTGTTAAAAAACCCCCAAAACCAAATATTTTTACATTAGCTTCTTTCCAGATGTGTGCACGCAACAACCATTTCGGGGAAAAGCAGCACATTGTTTCAGACAAGTCCCGCTTCTAACATTGCTGCACAAAAATGCTTCTTCAGCAGCCAGTCTCAAACTTACAAAGTTTGAAATCTTCCTGGTTCAGCCCCCAATCACAATTAACTTGATGCTATATAAGAAAGATCTCCCGCCCCAAGCCTGTTTCACCCTTGGGTGGTGAGAGGGGGGAGGGGAAATAACTTCTGGAACATTCACAAAGCTATCTACACAAGATCCCACCCAAATGGACACTTTTCATCTTGCCAGCCGGTGGGCAAACTATATCCTTGTGGCTCCATGGCCCATCTTTGTGTATCCTCTTCAGGCTTAATGTGGCTCCTGTTGCCCATACAGTACACATGTTCAGGGACCAAAATGAGTAGACACTAGGATCATCCTTGGAGGCAGAGGAGCTCCAATCTAGGCAACCTGAGATTCTGCTAGTCTTTGCCAAGCGGTCTTTGTTCCCACAAGGACACATTCAGAACACAGAAGATGGTGAATTGTGTAAAAATGTAGTCTGGCATGGGGAAGGTTAGCATTCATTCTGTCTCCATATGTGTGTGTGTGTGTACCACAGTACTCACGTATGCTGTTCTACTGGGCAGAAGGAATCCTTTAGCTCCAGCCAAACTCATCATACCTGGCTTAGGTATGGAGAAGAATGAGACAAATTTGCAGGCTGCATCACCTGCATATTTACAGCCATCTCCCCACTACTCTTAGGAACAGAATCTCAAGCTCTCTCTATTGGCTATTAGCATGCTGATACTATCAAGGGAGGAGGAGGGATGAAATGATTTAACCTTTGGCCTGTCCTCTCTCTACCTGAACTGCTGACAACTTAACAAAAAAGAGAGGCAGGAGTCAAGCCTGAGAACCTGCTCACCAATCCCCAAATAAGGAGGATTTAAGCTACTCAGCAGTGATGCATCAAATGATAAGGGTAAAAAAAGATTACTTGCAGAAATGACACAAGTCATAATGAAACATTATGATTTCCATGCAGGGTTGTGTGTAGATGGGCAAGATCAATTGTGAGCCCCACCCCCCTTCTTCCCAAGAGACCATTATTTCTCATGAATCTGTTGCTTGCAATGGCCAACAGTGACCCAGTCGAAACTACTGTTTTCCTGTGATACTTTACACGTCTCATTGTACTGCTGGATACATGCAAAATCATATAAACAGGAACTTGGTGGTCGTGTCTGGGCACAGATGGCCATTGCGAGCGGCGAACGAAGGTGTAAAAGCATAATGACAATGGGGATGAAAAGAGGGCTATTGAATAGGGCTGATGTAGCAGGTGTGCCACTTACTGGGAGATGGGTTAGTGTACAAGTTCACATTGATCTGAATAAAACAAACCTACCCAGTTCAAAGCCTCTTTCTGGAAACATTCAGTTAAAAAAGAAACACTCTCAAAGATCTTTTGTTCTTGGAGGGTGAAATCAATCTTTTGAAGTCCCTCGAGACGGACGGATTTTTAAAAGTCAGAGCGCTGAGGAATTCCAAGAAAGGGAACACTTTCCTTTTGATCAAAGCACAACACTGACGCGCCACTGAAGTGAAGCTGTCTGCAGACGCACCAGCCGAGGCTTGGTTGGGGGATCATTGCTGTCCATTGCTATGCTTCTGAGTAGCCACACAGAAACGCCCTCTTGAGAGTGACCGAGAGGGGCACCTTGCCACTTTGCTGGGCTCTTAGCTGTCCCACCGACTCTTCTTGCGCTTTGGGGGCTCCGGAACGACAAAGCCATCTGTCTTGCTGTTGTCCCTACTACTGCCTCCATCTGCCTTGTTGTTCTCCCTGCTGTTGCCATCTTTCCTGCTCTCAGTGTTCCTAGTCTCACTGCTTCTGCTTTCGCCGCTGTTCCGGCTGCTGTCCCCATTGTTCCGGCTTTCCCCGTGGCGACTGCTGCTGCTCCCGCCGCCGGCATGTCGGCTTTCCCCGTGGCGATGGCTGTCCCCGTGGCGGTTGTCCCCGTGGCGATAGCCTTCCCCGTGGCGCTGGCCTTCACCATGGCGACCGCTCCCGTCGCCGTGGCGCTGGCCATCGCCGCCGTGGCGACCGCTGCCCCGGTTGTCGCCGTACCTTTCTCTACCTCCGCTGCTGCCCTCTCTGTTGCTGTTGCCGGCGTTCGGACTGTTGAACCCCTGAATGCCAGGAGTCGGGAAGGCGGGGACGCTGTTTAAGTTTCCGGCGCTTGTGAAGCCTGTCATGCCCTTTGGCATGCCTGCCATGCCCATAGGACTGTCGGGTCTTGCCGAGTTCTGCTGTGCTGAGTTGCTTGGCACGGAGTTCAAGCTGCCAGCACTGGTCCACCCACTGGCACCTGCTGAAGAGCTGCCCGTCTTCTGATTGCTAAAGCTGGCAGCAACGAAATGGCTCTTATACTGGGACTACAGGAGAGAAAAACAAAAACCATAACCAATACAGTGGTAAAGGTAAAGGGACCCCTGACCATTAGGTCCAGTCATGGCCGACTTTGGGGTTGCGGCGCTCATCTCGCTTTATTGGCCGAGGGAGCAGGCGTGCAGCTTCCGGGTCATGTGGCCAGCATGACTAAGCCGCTTCTGGCGAACCAGAGCAGTGCACGGAAACGAGTTTACCTTCCCGCCGGAGTGGTACCTATTTATCTACTTGCACGTTGACCTGCTTTCGAACTGCTAGGTTGGCAGGAGCAGGGACTGAGCAACGGGAGCTTACCCCGTTATGGGGATTCGAACCGCCGACCTTCTGATCAGCAAGTCCTAGGCTCTGTGGTTTAACCCACAGCGCCACCCACATTCCTTATACAGTGGTACCTCGGGTTAAATACTTAATTCATTCCGGAGGTCCGTTCTTAACCTGAAACTGTTCTTAACCTGAAGCACCACTTTAGCTAATGGCGCCTCCTGCTGCTGTCGCCGGAGCACAATTTTTGTTCTCATCCTGAAGCAAAGTTCTTAACCCGAGGTAATATTTCTGGGTTAGCGGAGTCTGTAACCTGAAGCGTATGTAACCTGAAGCGTATGTAACCCGAGGTACCACTGTACGAGGATTCTTAAGCCTGTGTTTTCTGTCTCTTCTCAGTGATGCCAACCCCTATCAAAGATTGAAAGCTGCGTGCTGGATAGAATGGGCTTTTGGAAAGTGGGTGCACCTTACTGCTCAGAGATTTCTTCCCGTTAAGGGGAAAACCCAGCTATATTTTTAATGTGAGAATTGAATTTCATCGAGTAATGCTTTCTAATGTTAGGACATCTGCTGCAATGTATGGCTTGGTTTAGTTGCTGGAGTATTCACGCCGATTTTACCAAACTTATCTTTGCCTTCAGTATCTCTGGCACTAGACTACATACTGTCCTTCCTTCCACTCTGCCCATTCACTGGTATGGAGGAGGGCTGACCTACAGTGCCAACAGGAGCAAGCTGGAGCTAAATGCTGGGCGAATGGTTCCACCTCGGGTCAATGAAAACCTTGCTTGCCGAAGAACTTGTGATAGACACAAGGGAAATTCAGTTTACAGGCTGGGCAACGACCATACTGAAGCAGGCAAAGCTGCTGGCAAGCAACAGCTCCTTTCCCTTCTGAGGTGGTTTAAGGAGTTCACAGGCACAATGGCCACACTTGGCTAGAAGCCAAGAAAGCAGTAGCACCACAAGTGCCAGACAGAAAGGAGAGAGAATACGTAGCAGGAGAGTTAGCCATACCAACCTGGAATGCTGCCTTCATTGCAGACAACCGGTCCCCCATTGCTCCTGAGGATGGTTTGTATGCCTCATAGTTAACCATGACACTGTTACTCCCACGGTCCTGCGACACAAAGATGTTGGCAGTTAGCGCTGTGAAACTCGGGCTGCAGTACTATACATACTTACTGGGGAGTACGTCTCAATGAAATAAATGGAACTTACTTCCAAGTAGACATATACAGACAGCACTGTTCGTCTACATTAGTATACTGAATCTCAACGCTTACCACGCTCTCTGATCCAAGGCCGGGCCGCTCACGGTACCCCAGTCCACCACCGCCAATATTTAACTTCTTGCCCTTCCCTCCCTTGAAACGTGATTTCCGGAACCAAGCATTCTGGAGAAAAAGGATAGTAACATTAATAGGAGATGAAATATGTGACTAACGGGCTATGGATTGGTTCAACTACTTTAGACTACAGAATTCTGGCTGGAAGCGCAAAAGCAATACCAAAAATTAAAAGTACACAAGCACATTACAGTCAATTTGTTGTACGCTATTTGCCAAATAAAGGAGAGTTAGTTTTTGTGTTTTGGAGGGTGGGGGGAGGAACCCAGAGAAAGCCACTTGAACTACATACTGGGGTAAACAAAATATCACTTATTTGTAGAAAAACATAGTTCCCTGTTTTAAGTAGCTTCTTTGCAGATGCCTCCAAATTGCATGAGAGCAATTTGCACAAGATAGAGATAAAATCTGCCATGACCCATTCCTTAGATTTAAAGACAGCTCTCTGTATACTGCTAATGCCCAGTGTAGTTTTTTTCCTAGATGCCAATCTAGCTCAAGCAGTGGAAATGCAGCAAAATCTATTTCAAGGTAAAACCCCTTTTTCTTTTTAAATATACCACATACTGTGTTATATTATTTGGTGTGGCTCATAATTACACACAGAAACGTTAAGTTTCAAGTTAAGGAAAGATTACAGTGCTTCTTCAGGTTCTGACAAAGTTACCTGCATGGCCAAGTCCAAGAGCTCTTTTGTGACGTGCTGATTGGCCCCTTCCAAATTCCGAACAAGATCTCCAGCGAAGTTGCTATCCTTGTGAGTCAGCAGGGTGTAGGCCACGCCCTTCTCTCCTGCTCTCCCCGTGCGACCAATTCGGTGGGTGTGGGTGTCAATATCACGCGCCACGTCATAATTGATCACAGTCTTAATGGAAGGAATATCCAGACCACGAGCTGGGCACAGGAGATGTCGGGGATCAAGACAGTTTCACAGCAATTCTCACATGCGTTCTGCTTATATCACATCTTGTCAGCAAAGGCTGAGCTTACTCTGCTCAAAACCCTTTCCCACTGCACCACCTTCAATTCTAGGAAAGCTTCAGTACACAGTTGAAAGCAATCAAGTTATCCTAGACACTTTCTGTCAATGCTGGCCTGTATTCTTAAGACTGTATTGCAATTCCAAAAGAGACAACTGTATTCTTCCCTGACTGAAAATAGGTTTGGTTGCACTGAACTCTGATTATACTATAAAGAATTTTAGCTCCTCCTAAGGAAAAAAAATAGGAGGGAAATATTTAGTGGGGATTTAAAACAAATTAATGAGATAGTGAAGGAGGGCTATCTTTTTCAAAACATTGATCAACTAAAAGTCCGAAGAAGAAGAAGAGTAGTAGTAGTAGTTTGGATTTGATATCCCGCTTTCTCACTACCCAAAGGAGTCTCTAAGCGGCTAATATTCTTCTTTCCCTTCCTCCCCCACAACAAACACTCTGTGGACTGAGTGGGGCTGAGGGACTTCAAAGAAGTGTGACTAGCCCAAGGTCACCCAACAGCTGCATGTGGAGGAGCGGAGACATGAACCCAGTTCACCAGATTACAAGTCTACCGCTCTTAACCACTACACCACACTGGCTCTCTAAGGTTTATTTAGTATCTTAAATACATAGTCCACATCTACCCAGCAGGCTGAGCACAACACTCTCTGAACCACGGTAGATGTAAAGAACATCAGGGTAGGTGGATGAAAACTGGCTTAAGAGATAACACAACGTGAAGAGGGAAAGGGGTCGAGAATGTGGTTCGGAAATTGCTCCCAGGTTTTTAAAACTTCCAACTTGCACCCCTACCTGCCACATCAGTAGCAACCAGAACTGGGAAGGTCCCCTTCTTGAAATCCGAGATGACCTTGTTTCTTTCACTCTGGTCCATGTCACCGTGCAGCAGACCCAGGCTGTGCCCCTCCTGCTTAAGGTTGTTGGCCAGTTCCTCTGCATTTGCCTTCTTGGTAACAAAGAGGAGGACACTCCCCGAAGAGGTGAACTCCACTAGGCGGCTGGTCAGCCAGTTCCACTTGTTGGGGCCAGAGGAGAAGATCTCCACAATCTGAGTGATATCTTCATTTGCCTGTTGTGTGAGGAGGAGGAAGAGGAGTAAATAGAGGCAAAATGAGAATATCGATATATATTGAACACGAGAGCAGAGATGGAGGAAGAAGAAAAGAAGCATTATACTATGCACACCCGTGGTTCTCTCTTTGCTCTAGTCTATTTCAAACAGTGTTTTTTCAAAAGGTCTATTACCTCTCCGATATCTCCTTGCACTACTCGAATTGGATCAATTAGAATGTCTCTGGCCAGCTTCTCAATCTTCTTCCGGAAAGTTGCACTGAACAGTAGAGCTGTTAAGTCATGAAAATAGTACTAATGTTATATACACAAAGGTGCAAAGGAGTGCAAGCTCACAAGGAAACCACCCCATCCACCAGAATTGTATGAGAAGCTAGATACATAGGAATTGTCTGTGATGATTCAGAGGTGAGTGACTATTGCAGGTATGTCCAAATTCCATATTGGGGGCCTAATCCAGCCTGCTGGTCGATTTAATCCAGCCCCTGTGGCAGTATATGTCCTGGGATAGAACCCTAAAAAAAGCTCAACAACTTTGGTCGGCCCCAACGCATGTCCACTTCATCAAATCTAGCCCTCTTTGAAAAAAGTTTGGGCACCCCTGGATAGCATCACATCTGCCATGCATCCTTCCTTACTGTGTACAGCAGTACCAGAAGGACACATTGTGGTTAGGAGTAAGGTGAAAGATGCTATCCAAACAGCAGAGAAGCACGGAGGCAATGGGAGGGGGGAAATGACAAGGAGGCGGTGGTTCTGTATGCCCAAAAGCTACCTATATATGAACAAGATTTTAGAACACTCCAAATGTCTGGGAAAGGTGAAAAATCGGTGAGTGGGTGGGTGGGAAGACAGCAGGCTGCCCTTGCTTAACAAGAACAAAATGTTTGCAAATCCATTAATATAACTTAATTTCTTTCTGGTTTAAGTATGGGAATTGGAAACAGTTTTGGGACACAAATTAATGCCGCCCCGAAGGGCTAACCACATATATTTATAAGAATAAAACAGTTCTGTCTCACACAATACATATTTCAATATATTTTATATTCAGGAAGTCCACACTCACTCTGCCTTTCAGGGCGCACGTGACTGGCAATCGATCTGACTTGGTATTCTGGATGAAAAGAAGAACAAAGTTCCAGTCAATGCACAGTTTTCAGATGCTGAAAAGCAGCTGCATTATAAACAGCCAGCTAGATGAAGAGAGCGTGGCATATAGTTCATGATGAAAAGTGCTCAATCCCTGCATTCTAAGGCAACACCTTTTTATTTCATAAAATGCAGAATCATCCACAAGCTCAACTTCCAGTAGGTCTTGAATGAGATGTTGATACATTTGAACATCAGGCTCAGAGTTTTTTGTTTACAAAAAAGCATGCCCCTTTAAAAAAACATTTATTTTTAAAAGGCCTTTAAAATCAATATATTATGCAACTAAGTGACAAATTTGACAACGAGCAAATATTATTCTGTGGGCTTGAATTTATTTTTCAGCAAAGCGTATTTTTGTTTATTGAAATTAGAAATTATTGAAATTAGAAATATTCTATGCCCCAGAAAAAAAAATTAAGGAAGAAATCTGTGTTTCTTTCAAAGTCAACTAAAATTGAGGTTTGGGAAATAAGCAAATATATTTATATTTGAACAAATCTTCAAGAGGCCAATGATTATTGCACTCAAAATAATAGAGTTGCTTTGCAGCTGATATACATAGCCTCTGTTCCATACACACACACACACACAAAAAACCCAACAACCACAAGACACTTTCTCTTAGGCACTCCTGGCCTAAACAAGAGGAAGAAAGAAAACAGTTTCTCCAGAAATGCCCAGCCTGCCCTTCATATACTATGGGTGCAATGATATGGCTGCAGAACTGGGTGCTCCATGCCACTTCTACCACGACCTGTGCCCTACTTTGTACAATGAAGATTGAGCAAATGAAAGAGGTAGACACACACACACACAAATTCCTTTGGCCACAAAATGCTTGCTTGAACGAAAGGGTATTATGGAAGATAATACTGCCCATGCTTTGAAAGACTTCTGAAGAAAGGAAGTTCCAAAGGCTGGGAGTGGTCACTGAAACCTATCCTTGTGTGTGCTTTCACAGGGCCATCTGGAGCACAAGCGCGCCACTAAGAATTCATTCTTAGCTAACCACAAAGTTCAGGACAGGACACGTAACACAGCTTGGTACCAATGTTAAACAGTCATAACAAGCACGTTTGCGTTTTATTTTTACTTCCCAAATTCGCACTAGTCTTCACTGGGTCAAACCACTTGTCTTTCTCATATTACTTCATGTGAAAGCCTTCATTTTGCACCACCACCCTCATCTATTATCCAGAATGTCCTGTACTTTTCTGTAACACTGTTATTTAGTCGCTGCTGAGTGCGCAGCCTAAGAAATGCTTCAGCCTTTGCACTCTTTCACTAATGGATTCCTAAGACATAGAGGATGATATGAAGTTGTGGGGAACGTAGGCCACTGCTGTGACACATCCACACTGCAGCCAGTATTACTGGGTACGTACCGAAACCCATGTCAAACATTCTGTCGGCTTCATCAAACACAAGGTAAGTGACCCTCTGAAGGTTGGTTGCTTTCTTCTTCACGTGGTCAATCAAACGGCCCTGATTGGAAATATTTAACAGCAGCAAGCTAGTCAGAAAAGCCAGTATCAATGCATCATTCAAACTATGTTACAGTAATTCCTTGGTCACAGTGGTTATACTGTTATAATTGTTGTATTTTAATCTTGTTTTTAAGTTGTATTAATTCAACTTGCTTGTTAGCCGCCCTGAGCCCGGCCTTAGCTGGGGAGGGCGGGGTATAAATAAAAATTATTATTATTATTATACTGCTTCAACTTTCCCTGATATTGTTTGTGGTCCTTTTTGAACAACAGGGTCCTTAGTGATGGTCTGTGACGGTCAATAGTAGCTGGCCAAGGGCCAAGGAAAGCTCTGAAGGCCACCTTTAAAGGAAGACTCCCAACCAGAGTCCAGTGAGAGGGAAATAGTTTGGTTGTGTCAACAACAGACAAATCCCTCAGAAGCTGCTAACTGCCAAAGCAGTTTCTCTTGCCCTTAGGAATTCTGCTCCAGTTTGGATCCACATTTTCTGAATCCAGTAAGGGGGAAAAATAAGGTAGGTTCACATAAGCCACAAACCAAAGAACGAATCACAAGATATTTCTTTTTATTTAGAATGAAAAGGAAACATATTGCAAGCCATTCTCAGGATCCCATATCCCTTAGGGCAGCCTTCCACAATCTAGGAATGTTTTGTACTACAACTCCAGCCCCAGCCAGCAACATCTGGAGGGCACTAGGTTGGGGAAAGATGCCTTACAGCAACACAAGTACCTGGAAGAAATACTCACTGGAGTGCAGACAACAATTTCTGCTCCTTCCTGCAGAGCCTTGGCCTGCTCCCACATGCTTCCTCCACCATACACTGCTACGGAGCGTAGATTGTAGGCCTTCCCAAAGCGTTTGCATTCAGCGTGGATCTGAAGGCACAGCAGTTCACAGAATATTGAGAACACTACTTCAAAAACTAGAAAGACATTTCCATTACATCAAAGAAACAAAGGGACTGCAAAATCGACACTTTCCTGTGCAATGGGGCTACAAGAATAACAACTAGACTTCTTGTTTGTTATTCTGAACTCTCCTTTCCAGTGGCTGAATTTTCTCCTGCCTTTTGCACATCAGTCTGGCCATCTTTGTACCTGTGACTCACCCCTAGAGCTTAACAGGATCCCTCTTTGCTGGCCTCACACCTCACTTTTCTGTATCTACTCCCTCTCTCTTCTTTTGTATCCATCCCAAACGAATTTGCTAGAATAATCTCTATACATCACATCATTTCTTTTTTACTTTCTCTTTTCTTTTCTCTCTTTCTTCTCCAGACTCCTTTTACCTTGTTGTATCAAAATGTTTTAATAAAACAATTACGAGACAGAAGAGGTAGAATTTCAGGGCAGATTTCTAGCATCCCTGTTTTTTATGTTGAGCATATCCTATGAAAGCAACCAGAGGAAGTATTATTGTGACTGGAAATTGAGCCACTTGCCACCAGGCAGCATAAAAGTAACATTGCACTTTTAATAATGAACATCTTAATGATGAAACAACTGAAGCACAGACAGACAAGCCTTACTCCCATACCCACTTGCAACAAGAAGGTGAAGCTGGTGGTGGCCTGACTAGTTTAGTTACAACCAGCCCCCTTTAAAATCTTGATCTCAACACTGAGGGGTGAGCAGAAGCGGTGAATGCAGAGTTCCTCCTTCTCTATACCACCTATGTAAGAAGCCCTCTTTTGACCCATAAAGGCTCCAAAATGGGTCTCTGAGACTTACAAAAGAGCAAGGTATTTGAAGTCCTGCATGCATCACGTCCTGCACCACAATATCTCATTACAACTCCTCAGATCAAAGTAAGGGTGCCCTCATTAGTGTGGCAAACCAGAATGACTCTCTGCTAAAGCATGGCAATTTTTCTGGAATTGCATCATAGTTCTGAACCTCCCTTTCCTTGTACAGTGGTACCTCGGGTTAAGTACTTAATTCGTTCCGGAGGTCCGTTCTTAACCTGAAACTGTTCTTAACCTGAAGCACCACTTTAGCTAATGGGGCCTCCCGCTGCTGTCGCGCCGCCGGAGCCCAATTTCTGTTCTTATCCTGAAGCAAAGTTCTTAACCTGAAGCACTATTTCTGGGTTAGCAGAGTGTGTAACCCTGAAGCGTATGTAACCTGAAGTGTATGTAACTAGAGGTACCACTGTAGTTGCCAAATAAATTTCAGAAGCTTTCTACCTGAGCTGCTCTTTGGTGACCATGGTATGCAAGATGGGTTTCCCCTCCCAAAAAGTAAAAAAATCCATTACCAACTCATTCCCCCATTAAAAAACCCTTAATTTTAACTGGTCCCCCCGTTTTTGGTAAATCTCCACATACCATTACCCCCTCCCAACCCAAATTAAAACAACAACAAAACCAGCATAACCTCCTCAGATGGATAATCTGTTCCCAGGATTTACTTCCCCCCATTTCTTTCCATGATGCTCCAAACATTTCTTTACCTGCTGGCACAGCTCTCTGGTTGGACATACAATCACTGCGATGGGACCATCTCCTGGCTCCAGCTCCTTCTGATCCATGATGTGAACCAACATGGGCCAAATGAAGGCTGCAGTTTTCCCACTGCCAGTCTTTGCAATACCGATCATGTCTCTCCCACTCAGGGCCACTGGAACACCCTGAAGGGAAAAAAACAACCCACCCACATTTTAAATCAAGCAGTTTCCCAAAACAGAGCTGTGAGACTCAGCTCAGGGTATGCTTTTGAAAATATTAACCTTCATAAAGCCATGAGGATGTGGACCCCAGCAGCTGTAAAAAAATGTCTGTAAAGTGTTTTTTTTTTAGCATACCCGAATCATTTCATACTCCACGTGTTCCTCAATTATTATACGGTCAGTTATACCCTAGTTACTTCATCACATCTCCACTTTTAAGAGCTTGTGTTTAACTGACAATGTTGTTAACTAAATAAACCGATATAAGAAGCAAATATCTAAGCCCATTGTAACCCCAGCATAATCTCCAAAAAAGGATATGGAAAACAACATAGCATTTTGCTCGTTGCATAAATTCCATTTTTTTAATCAATACCCCACTTGAAAAGACCCGGAGTAGATTTTGTAGTAGTAGTACAAATATTTATGTACTCCCTATGTGTAAATAATCAGTATACCATCAACACCACTAACACCATTATAAAGTATTCTAGACAGTTTGCTGGAACCCTAGGGTTAATTATACCCTATGAAGTTAATTCTGTTCCAAGCTGACTTTATCTTGACATAGAAGTTAACATTCTTTTGACGCAAACTTGCAACACAGCATTATTATATGTAATTTCCCTTTATCTTTTTTTGGAGAAGTTGAGATGCCCAATTAGGCTACAGCAAGGGTAGTCAGCCTACCACCCACTAATGCATCTTTCTTGATGGTAGAATTTCTTTAACACCCACCAGTGCTCGATGGAAGGAGGATTCAGCTTGTGCCATAACTTGAACCCTCTACCGCCCACCTAGAATCCTGAAATGCCCACTAATGGGCGGTGGGGACCAGGTTGACTACCCCTGGGCTACTGCTATTCACAGGACTCCTTCCACTGTTTATTACGGACCCAGTATTTTCCCCTAGGCATTTTAAGTACAGTGGACCCTCCGGATACGAACTTAATTTGTTCCAGGGGTCCATTCGCACCCTGAAAATTACATAAATAGAGGCACGCTTCTGTACACAGCGCAACTTAAGCCCTCCTATGCACTTCCGGGTTTGAGGTCCTTAACCCGAAGATTCCGTATCCAAAGGGACACATAAGTAGAGGTACAACTGTTATCTACTTTGCTCTCTTCCATTTTCTCAAGGACTAACTGTAGCTCTAGAGGAGAAATAACAAGATATCAAAGGATAAACCATGGACCAATAGCCCTTCTGGATAGAGAAAACTTTCTACACTTGTTAAGACAAAAAGGACATCCCTCTGAAATTTCAGGGCATCTTTATCTTTTTTTTAAAAAAAAGTTCATTTGGTAGTGATTCTATTGGAAGGAAATTCTTTAGGCTTTTTTACACGTGGTAATTTTAAATAATCAAATCAATTTTATGGCAAATAATTACTGCCTTTACTTCTAAATTAATTAGCCTGCTAATCAAGTTGATAATGTTACAACATCTCCCCCGCCCAAGAAAAACAGACATGAGAGAAATAACAAAACTCTACTTTGTTGGATTAATGTGAACACTGTTATGCAGGACTCACCTGGCATTGGATAGGTGTGGGTTGAGTATATTCTGATTTCCTAATTTGATGCATAAGTTGCTCATCAAAACCAAAATGAGCAAAACTGCTTCCTGGTCTTGGAGGAGCTGCTCCAGAAACCTAGGGGGAAAGTTTTTCATTAAAACCATGCCTTACACTTTTGAGAGAGATTAATCAATGCACATGCTGATGTAGAGTCTACAGGAAAAGGAAGTTTGCTCAGTTCCAATCTCCAACAATGCTTATTGTGCTAAATCCACCTTTATAAGGGTATACCACCCACCTCAAATGATTAGCCTTTCTTGTGTTGAACTGAATTCAACATTCAGCTGTGGTAAACACACCTGAAAAGCACAATGATGAAGGAAATGTCCCAATCTAATTTAAATTAAATTAGATTGGCAGAATAAAATCTTAGAATATGCAGAGCTAGCAAGATTGACAACAAGATTCCGAGACCATACAGATCAAATATTCAATAGAGAGTGGAATATTTACAGAGAATACCTAAAAGAACATTGTAAAAATCTAAATTCTTCGGCAGGCCTGGATTGACCTATGCATGAAATAAGAGAACTTTACAAAATTAACACAACCGAACAACCTAGGAGAGATAAAGTTAAGTGCGCAGTTTAAAAAAAAAAAATCACAATTAGGAATCACAATTGTAGGGGATTTGAAGTCATGTTTGAATTCGTTACATGTGAATTTAAATCTTTTTAAAAAATGAGTGTTGATTTTGAATTGCTTTTTGTTGGTTGTTTTGTATTGTTTTATTCTCTATTTGTTTTGTTTTTAAAACCAATAAAGCATTAAAAAAAGAAGTGGGGAATGTCCCCTGTTATCAGAAGCCCATATTCATGGGAGGATTGAGAGCATGCACATCTTATAAAATCCAGAAATTCACCAACTGGGCCTCTACAAATAGACCAACGTTAGGTATTTTCGTATGCAAATCAGAGGCTAAATGGAACAAATGACCAGCAATATCTAGCTAGAAGCTTGATCAATCAAAGAGGCCAGTGGAGTGAAGAGAATCCCAAGAAGGGGGCTGAAAGCCTGAATAACAACCAGAAGCCTTCCCTACTACCAATCCCCAACAGAATAAGCTGAGGGGGGAGGTGTCCGAACAGCTAACAAGTACTGAAGTACTCAAGAAAGCCTGAAGATGACCAACTGTCAAAATCTGGTTAACAGTTTATGTCTGCTAACCACCATGCCTTTTATGCCTGCTGCAAGTTTTCTTTTTTCCTCTTCCTTTTATTGACTTAAGAAAATTATACAGACAGCAAAATGAGGAAGCCCAAATTAACATTGCCTTCTACCGATAAGAAATAATAACAACTATTACAATAATGAAAATACTAAAAATACATTTACTTTCCCTTTTGAACTTCTCTTCTGGTTACAATATACTACTAGTCTCTAAGAATCTATTACATCCTTTGCTGTCCCATATATTATTTTATTTCCCAGATTCAACCTAACCCTCCCCTCCTCCCCACTGCTTCCCTTCACCTGTATGAGATCTTCCCATCATAATAGTTTTTCTAGTTGCTTTAATAAAATAGAATAACATGAAAACTGTTAAATTATAATTACTTCTTTTGTCCTTACAGGCTTAACAATTGCCTTTTAAGAGTGCCTGCTGCAAGTTTTCCCCTACACTGAATCAAACTTTTCCCTCTGTCAAGCCGCATTATTCTTGCAAACCCTCCTCAAGGTGCACTTTTACAAAGCAGCCACTGAATTGTAGCCATCCCCACTACAAATTAACTCTCCTCTGCACCACTATCCTTGAAACTTAACATACTGGCTCTCTTACATCCTTTCTGCTCTCTTTATGTTACTTGGGTCATAACCTTACTCAGGAGGAGCCATGGCACATCTTTGTAAAGGTTCTGTGTCTGTTTATTGTTCACCACACAGCTGTTATGATCATGTCTGAACAAGAGACAATCCTCAAAGCAGGACTCGTCTTACCCGGAGATTCAGCTTGTGGCGCAGCTCCACCACTTGCTGTGGGGTGAGGCTGGTGATTTCTTCATGCTCGTCGTGGAAATTTTTCTCAAACGGTGGGTATTCAATCTGCAGGCCAAATAGTTCATGGTTAGTCAGGGATACCACCTTATCAATGAAAAATTGGTTGCTGCCTCGGCCCAAGTAGCGGGCTGCCATGGAATGTTCATGAACATTCTTGCAATGTTAACAGTTGTAAGCATAAAGGTAAAGGTAAAAGGACCCCTGACCATTAGGTCCAGTCGTGACCAACTCTGGGGTTGCGGCGCTCATCTCGCTTTATTGGCCAAGGGAGCCGGCGTACAGCTTCCAGGTCATGTGGCCAGCATGACTAAGCCACTTCTGGCGATCCAGAGCAGTGCACAGAAACACCGTTTACCTTCCCGCCGGAGCGGTACCTATTGATCTACTTGCACTTTGACCTGCTTTCAAACTGCTAGGTTGGCAGCAGCAGGGACCGAGCAACGGGAGCTCACCCCGTCGCGGGGATTCAAACCGCAACCTTCGATCGGCAAGTCCTAGGCTCTGTGGTTTAACCCACAGCGCCACCCGTGTCCCTAGTTGTAAGCATAGCATCCAGCAAATGTGCAGCTCCTGTGAGACATTCAAACAAGCACTTTGGTAAGGGGAAAACATAAAAATCATAAAAATTTGATTGTCTGGGCTTCTATGCAATGGAAGAATATAAGCACTGGAGCACATATGGTGAGGGTCTCTTCCTCTCTTTGCTTTAGTCAATGTATTACTGTTGATTTTTGGATGAACTTAGCACTGGTGCTATGCTACTGATTGCAGAAATTCCCTCACCTCTGAATGATCAATAGGAGGAAGAGGGTCAATGATTTTTTTGGATGGTGCTATTGGATTGCCATCACTGTCATACTCCAGGTTGTCCTCCTCCTCTTCTGGAACCACACCAGCAGTGGGATTTTCTGCCATGTAACGGAAATATGCTTCCTGCAGCAAAACAGAGAAATGTAACTGCATACAAGCGCCAAAGAGGATGAAATGCTATTGTTGTTTTCAGTTAATTACTAGCTACATTTAGAGACGGTCACTTACCCATAAAGAACAAATAACTTTGTCTGTTTTAATAGTTCTCTTTTTATCACAGTTAATTATTTGGTGAAACCATAATAAAGAACTAACAAATTGGCTGGTATATTTCGCTTTTCCAGGAAACAGTCAGAAGACCTGAGCTGACCATCTCAAATGTTCAGTTAAAGCCACAAAAGTGTTTTCTGCTATGTCAAAATGTCTGGCCTTCAACGCTTAATTTCCAAGACGGGTGGTGTGTATGTATGTGTCACATCTGCCTGGACATTACAACCACTGACCTCAAAATCTTTTTCTCTAACGCCATATTTGTGAATAGGAATGACTGCGGTTACTCAGAAGTGACAGAAAAATACTCTGCACATGCTCAAATTCTCTCTTTTGTCTTTTTTACTTTGCATTTACTTCTGCTGACTTCTTGGCTAGATGTCTGCGGCAAGTTAAAAGTCTCCAGGCAACCAAACAAGGGGGAAAAATCTGAAAACTGGAAGGGTTTTCTTTTAGGTTGGTTAGTCACTTACAGTGCATTGAACAGATGTAGAGCAGGTAAAGACATGGATGCCAATGCACAATCGGGAACCTTGACTGTACACTGGCAAGGGAAAACAGGCTTTGGTTCTACCTCCCATCAGCTGATGGGCAACAGAGCCAAAATGTGCTGGAATGGCTGTCCTAGCAAGCTCCCTATGGAGAACTTGCTTACGCAACTGATGCCTGCAAAAATGTGATGCCTCAGGTGCTTTAAAGCACCACGCAGGGCTCTTTCTGAAGTCCTATCTTTGGGAATGAAACATGTTGAATAACTTGAAATCACTGTGATGTCAGTGATTGACAAGTGAGCAGCCCTGCTCACCCGTCAAATTTGGTCCACGAGGCTCAGATCTGACAAAGATCTGTCCTGCAGCGCATACAACAAAAACAACAACAAAAAGGTTTTCCACCCTGATCTAGCAGGCGTACATGATTGACACTGCAGATATCTACTTTCATGAACAGGAATTCCCCCAAAGAGTTCTCCTAACAATTATGTGCTCCCTTTCAGGACAGGATATGGTTTTTGAAACCATTTTGATATTTTACTATAACAGGGAATACCCTATGTTCTCTAATTTGAAGATACAGAAAATAAGAAGCTCTTCCTTGTTTTAAAAAGTCAAATTCACATTCAAGAGAGACTCTCTCAAAAAAGGCACCTTCAGCATTTCCCCCAAAATGCAAATTTAACTGGTTAAAAAGTCACACTAATATTAAGTCTGATCAATACATTGCTACGACATTTTCAAGCTGTCCTTCCTCCAAGGAGCTCAGGGGAGTGTATATGGCTCTCCCCTCCATTTTATCCTCATTACAACTTTGTCAAGAGGACACAGAAGATTGAAGGCTTAAGAAAAAGCCTAATTAAATAGCATTGGGTTGAGAAAAGGACCAGGCAATCCTGCGAGCTTCATGGTCGATCAGGGATTTGAACCCAAATCAACCACAATAGTTATTGGTGCAATTGGTTGGCATCCCTGTGCAGTATTAGAACATTGTGGCTATCTGGAAACCCAGCCAAAAAGGGTTAAAGAGGGGTATTCATTGGGAAAATTCAGGATATCCTGCAATAACTGGGGTGAGATAGGAGTGGAAATAATAAATAAATAAATAAATAAAGGAAGGAAGGAACAAAAGAAGACAGGAAGGGAAAGAAAGGAAAGAAGACATGACTTCATTTACAAATGAACAAGATTTCTATTTTCATTTATTTTTGCTGCACTGTAAATTTAAGCAATCCCTCTCCCCCATCGAGTGGGCTACACACTGTTTCTTAGCTATGTCTCAATCCTACCATGCACATTAAGAAGCACCTTAGATCTTCCTTCAGAGTTAAGATGAATGCCTACCAAAGCAACAGTGAAAAATGGTATCTTCAATAATGTTACATTAAGCCATAAAATAAGTTTCTCTAACTCTATGGCTCATCAGTGGTTCTCAACCTGTGGGTCTCCAGATGTTGTTACACTACAACTCCCATCATCCCTGAGCTCTGGCCTTGCTACCTAGGGGTGATGGGAGTTGTAGTTCAACAACATATAGGAACCCGCAATAGGGACAAGTCTAGAGCACTGACTCATGAAAAGTTGCAAAAGCCAGACTCCACAGGGGTTGGTGATTATGTATCACTGCACCACGAGGTGTTAAAATCAGTGCAGCTAACCTGTGGCCCTCCGGATATTGCTAAACTACAATTCCCAGTAGCCCCAACCACCGAAGACAATGGTCAGGAATGATGAGATTTGTAGTTCAGCAACACCTGGAGCGCCAGAGCTTAACCATCCCTGGGCCACATGCTTCAATCGTGGCTGATGAAGAAACAGGCAGAACTACTTGCTATGGAGGCTGATTAGGAGGCAAGGTCAGAGCAGTAACTCATGCAGACATGTAGTGGGCAGATACTTTAGACTGCTCAGGAGACATCAATTAGCCATTCTGTCATGGCATACTAGAATATACCCCGGAACACAGTTCAGAAATTACTGGGCTGGAAGTTCCAGATTTTGGATAGTAGGTATGCTTTTATACAAGCATAATAAAGCTTTTTGACTGCACCAATAGGAGACTCAAAGAAGCACAAGTCCGTGACAAGTTAAAAAAAAGTATGCAAAGTGGCATGGTGAGCTCTACAATACCTTATACCAGTGATGGCCAAACTTGGCCCTCCAGCTGTTTTTGGACTACAACTCCCATCATCCCTAGCTAACAGGACCAGTGGTCAGGGATGATAGGAACTGTAGTCCCAAAACAGCTGGAGGGCTGAGTTTAGCCATCACTGCCTTATACAGTACTTAAATATTTTCAGCTGTTGCTTATATGGTCCACAGCAACAGCTGTCAACTTTTTTAGACCAGGACTCACTTTTATCATTAAACCTGCACAGGACCTACTTTTATTTTATTTTTATGTCTGTCTTTCTGCTTCCTTCTCCCTTTTTTCACTCCACATCCCCCTTTAAAAAAATAAAACAAAAGCGTAAAAAGCATTGGTTGTGCGCTGATGTGACTCACCTAAAGTTGACCTGCAAACCAGTTTGGGGTCCTAACTTTTTTATCAGCTGGGCTAATGGTCTGATGTATTTAGAAAGAGCAGACTCCCCCCCATCCCCACCAATCTTCTCAGCAAACAAAAACAGATCTGCTTTATTTCAAAGGATATCAGAAATGTGTGTCTGCACTCATTGATTACTGTTTTTTAATAGATAGAAAGGTTGCGTAGAAAACTCACTTGATCATCTTCCTCTTCAATATCATCGCGTATACCCCTGGAAAAATAAGCAGAGAAACAAAACTTCCCTGCAAATGTTCCACATACCCAGCTCCATACATTCAATCTGATTAGTGCCAATATAATGCAACACTGACAACATTCGGGAGCAACCAAACAAAAAAACAAAAGAACACGAACATCTTATGTTCCAACCCACCAGGACCTGCCAAATTATGAAGAGTAAAATTGACTGAATTTCAGATCTATGAAGTGTGACAGAAAAGCTGTTTCACAGAACTATATAGTTGAAGACAATGAGGGAGGTAACCTCAACACCCTACTCCAAGGAAAACACCAGCCCCTCAGAAATCAACCCTCATAAATTCAGATCACAGCCTTCAGGGAGGTTCAGAAAGGCTTAAAGATCTTAGCATGGCAAAATCTTCAAATATCCCAACAGAAATAATGCAAGATGATCCCATGCTTCTTGTCCATCTCTCACTTGTTTCAATGGGGCTGTGATATAAAAAAAAACTTACTTTGTATTTTTTCTTTCCTTGTCTTTGTCTTCCAATCTCTTCATGTCTCGAGCAGCTTGATCCTAATGGGTCACAAAAGAAATGTAACATTGCAATGCAGCACATTCCCCTATAAAATTCCTATGACGCTGGAGCTCATAGCGCTATATGCAATGGAATACAGCAACTAGGTGAGGGATACCATCTGCCAGGAGAGAGAAGAATTCTGACAGCTGGCTCCCCTCCTTATTCTTCCTATCATATTATTAAAAGGGTTTTTCAGTGCATATCACTGTATCTCAATACAAAACCAAAGGTTCAAGGTGATGGTATTGTTGCACAAAGCCCTATATACTGGGATACCTAAAACATCACCTCACCCCCTACATACCCTACTATCAGTGTGCTGCAGGATAGGCCATCCTGCAGATACCATCCTATCAGAAGATCTGTTCTGCATTAATGTCAGAACTGGGCCTTTAGTGTAGTGGCACCTGCCCTTTGGAATTCCCTTCCACCTTGCATCTCTACTGGCTTTTCAGCACTTGCTAAAGACATTCTCCTTTCCAAAAGACTTCTAAAATCTTTATCTCAGTTGCTATCTGACCTAAATCTCAACTGATTTTCTGATTTTATTTATGTGTTGTTGTTTTAAACTGTTTCTATTTTTATAGTTATTTTCAAAAAATGTTTTTATATACAACTGTTTTCAAACACGTTACTCTTTCATATATGCCATTATATTGTAAATTGCTTTGAAATACCTCACGGGAAGCAATTTGTAAATGAAACAAGTAATTAAATGGTAGCAGTAGTAGTTTGAAATCCTCCCCAATTGTTATGAGGAGGAGTTTGACTTCTACTTCTCAGACTAAATTATGAATGTTTGAAGTGGCGACATCACCACTGCTGAATTCCCTCCTGAGAGGCACCTGCTTGGTTTCACTTCTCTGACTTTTAAGGCCCCTAAGGTGCTAATCGCTGTTGCTGCTTTTGTAATAATAATAATAACAACAACAACAACAACAGCAGCAGCAACAACAACAACTTATTATTTATACCCCGCCTATCTGGCTGGGTTTCCCCAGCCACTCTGGGCGGCTTCCAACAGAACACTAAAATACAATAACCTATTAAACATTAAAAGCTTCCCTAAACAGCTTCCTTTGTTCTGTTCTGTCTGTCCTTGTCTTTACTTTCATGCTTGCTTATAGGGGAACAGCTGGCTATTATGGGTGTTTTCACTGGTTTGCTATAAACTACCTCAGATACCCTACAAGAAGACAGATTTTAAATATTTTAAATTAAAATAAATACAACTGGTAACATTTTTGTCCCGTCTTCAGAGGTGCTGACTGTTATTCTCCTTAACAGTCATTTTTGGTGCATTTCAAAGCCACAAAATATCGGCAATGCATAAGGAGAAGGTAACTTACCTCCACCTCTGCCATGAATGCCTCCAATGGGTCATCTTCGCTGTCTGAGTCAGGTGGTTTGGAATGGAACTGCTGCCGAGTGGGGGAGTTCTCAGCGGGAATGTATGGCAAGTCAACGTTATTGGAATCTTCCTCCTCATCCTCAAAGTACCTGAAAATTCACAGAGAGAGGAAATGACACTGGGAAGAATCAAGCCAACACATAAGCAGGCTTATAAGAAGGGGAAACCATTTGCTATCACACAGAGCCTAACACTGGACAATATTTTAGGATTTTTAAAAGTTTTTTGGGGGGGCGGGCACAGAACTAAAGAACAAACTCCATCTCTCAAATATCCACTCCAAGTTGTCTGGCAGCCTAATTTAGCTGTTGTCATGCAACTTTTATCTGGACTAGTCTTACGCTTGAGATGTCAGCTGTAAAACGGCTTAAGTCATGGGTAGGCAAACTAAGGCCCAGGGGCCAGATCTGGGCCAATAGCCTTCTAAATCCAGCCCGCAGAGAGTCTGGGAATCAGCGTGTTTTTACATGAGTAGAATGTGTCCTTTTTAAAAAACTGCATCTCTGGGTTATTTGTGGGGCCTGCCTGGTGTTTTTACATGAGTAGAATGTGTGCTTTTATTTAAAATGCATCTCTGGGTTATTTGTGGGGCATAGGAATTCATTCTTTTTTTTCTTTTCAAAATATAGTCCGGCCCCCCACAAGGTCTGAGGGACAGTGGACTGGCCCCCTGCTGAAAAAGTTTGCTGGCCCCTGGGCCTTATGCCATCCACTGTGACACTTCTTTTCACATATTATCAGGTAATACAACCACGTCTGCCCTATTAAAACAAATCGCAAAACTTTGGGCAACTCATTTAATGGGGATACAAGTGCAAAAGGGGGCAACTTACGCATTCTCCTCATCAAAGTTTGCTCGCTTTGATCCAATCTTGTAAAAAGAAGGCAGCTGTGGTGGTGGTGTCTTTCCGAACCCAGCTGAACCAGGTGCTCCGAAAGCACTGTGGGACTGTTGAGGGAGTTTTGGCTCTTCCTTCTTCCCAGTGGATATGGAGAAGCCACCGAAACCAAAGCCCCTCTTGGTGCCAGGGCCACCTTTGTTCCAATTCATGGTGTCAGCAATGCGTCTGAAAAAGATGAAATGACGTACTAAATAGAAAGCCTCTGCCCGTTTCCAAACAGTCCTCATATGAACAAAACCCCATAGGCAACTAGCATAGAATTAAATAGGAAAGTCTGACTTAGAAAGATGAACAAAGCACCATTTATTTATTTATTTTGGTAAAAAATGCTCCCCCTAAATATCAATCATAGCAGTTGATTGCACTGACCGGCAGCAGCTACTTTTAAAAGATGAAAATGGGTATTTCTAGTACATGAATAAAACTCAAGTTTACTCCAATGCAGATATTTTGTTTACTGATAGAAGCAGACTACCTTTTAAAGGCTTAATATCCAGTTCAGTTCAATTCTATTGTTTAGTCATTTCTGTTTACCAATAAAAGATATAATCTGCATTCAGATGGCAAAGAGTCCTAAATACATTTAAATATATGTAATACAATCAACTGCATCCTACTTGATATCTGTGTGGATGACACTAATAAAATGTGGCAACTTTATGCATTAGAGGTTTTGTTTTTAACAATGAATTCAGGCTATCTTCTGGAATGAATATTTTTATTTAAAATGTCTGCAAGCTATTTGTCCCTTAAAGGACAGTAGGCAATTGAAGTGCGAAAAAGAACCCCTGCTTTGTTAGCCCCTGAGCTTACTAACAAGAACATTCACTGCTGTTCATCTTAAACCAAATCATAAATAATGTTATATAAATGCTTTTGGGGGCTTTTTACTACCCAAGAAAAATTCCACTGTATCTCAAGGCAGTAAAATGTCCCAAAGCAAAACCATCTGCGTAGGCAGGCAGGCAGAACCTTCTGGTGGTAGAATTCCTGCCCACAGTACCGTATTTTTCGCCCTATAGGACACACTTTTCCCCCTCCAAAAATGAAGGGGAAATGTGTGTGCGTCCTATGGGGCGAATGCAGGCTTTCGCTGAAGCCTGGAGAGTGAGAGGCGTCGGTGCGCACCGACCCCTCTCGCTCTCCAGGCTTCAGGAAGCTATCCACAAGCCTTGCGCGCCCGGCGGGAGTTCCCCCGGGCGCGCAAGGCTTGCGGGCGGCAGCCTGCAGCGTGGAGCACGGGGCGCCCTCCGGAGGGCGCCCCGTGCTTCGCGCAGGTGTCCGCAAGCCTTGCGTGCCCAGCGGGAGTTGCCGCCAGGCTCGCAAGGCTTGCGGATAGCAGCCTGTTCTGGGTGCTGGGGTCGGGGGAAGCTCGGGCTTCCCCCGCCCCAGCCCCGCGGCTGGGAGGGAAATGATTTTTTTTTTATTCATTCCCCCCCCCCAAATGAGGTGTGTCCTATGGGCCGGTGCACCCTATAGGGCGAAAAATACAGTAATTCCCAAAATGGGGAATTTCAGGGAAAGGGGCTGACCTGCTGCCATCATGTGACAGTAATGTGTCCAATCTGGGCCTCTTTGCTACGGCACCCTGAGCAAAGGCACTAGGAACAGGTACACTTCCCTGCCCCCGAATTGTGAGAATGGCAGGGTTGTGGAAGTGGCTTATCACTCCATCAAACCTCACCACCGACCGCCAGGAGTTTGGATCAACACCCTGGATCATTTTTGTTGGGGAAAAAACCATGGGACTTTTTTTTTTTTTACATTGGCTGAAAAACACCAACCCACCCATCCAAATGGCAAAAATCAGCAGACTGCTTTGATATTTTATGACCCATACTTTTTTTTGTTGTCAAAATGAGAGCAACTGCTTCACTGGATCAGTTAGTTGGAACTTCTGTTTTTAAAGATGGATTTGTTACACTGGCTGATGAAAAAGCACCCCAAATGCAAAAACCAGTTGATTTTCTAAGGCACTTAATGACTCACTTGCTGGAATTTGAGGACATTGTTTAATGCTGCGCAGGTGCTGTCCTAGGAGTACACTGTAGGTTTACTTCTGTGTATAAAATGAATGCAATGAAAAGTGCAGCCCTGGAAGGATTTTGTCTTAAATCTGTGGAAGAGATTTGGTTCAGCTCTTACAAACTCTACAGTGAATGCACATACGAGTCTAATATACATATTTTCATTGGGGATTTTTATCACGTGGATATCTGCTGCTTTGAAAACTATTTGTGTCTAAGTGCCACGGTCATACAGTCCACCTGAAAAAGTTAGGTTAAGAGAGAACAGCCTTGGAAGAGGAAAACAGATACATCCTGTGTTTGCAGGTAGAAAAACAGGGAGCAGCCGTACTGGGAGATACGAGACTAAAATAGAGAACTGAGGCAGCTGGATACCGTACTTTGTAAATATGCACTATTATTGTTTACTTAGCCACTTCCATTTAAAAGCACTTGACACTTCTTTTTCAAATTTGTCTTTCAATTCAAAACATTCTGACCTTTTCCCCCGACATCAATACATGGGGCAGACTGACTTTCAAGGCCAGCCAGTAAGTTTCTTAGCCTAACCAGAACTCAGACTCAGTCTGCTGCATCCGGTCCACCAGCAATCATATATTGGTTCATAGCTGTGCATTGGCTTGAGCATTTGAAGCCATTGCCACAATGCATCTACTACAATGGTGACCACCGCTGGCAGCTGTAGGTGGTTTGTAGGGTGCATAATCCACACACCTGTGGATTACGTGTCTTCCTTGGCCCCTTCCAGTTCTATTCTTCTATAAATGTTACCTTCAGTTTTACAAATACAGCCAGCGCCGTTGTGGAAAGGAAGCGAAAACAAAAGCACGGCAGCTATTATTTGGGGTTCAAGCCCCACTTGCATGCCATGCCCACTCGGCAGGGGACTTTCCACTGTGCTCAGTGGGCTGACTTCTGAGAAAACCGTGCACATGCACACGCTCGCTCCCTCGAGTCAGGCACGCAAATACAGTGGTACCTCAGGTTAAGTACTTACCGTATTTTTCGCTCTATAAGACGCACCAGACCAGAAGACGCACCTAGTTTTTGGAGGAGGAAAACAAGAAAAAAAAATATTGTGAATCTCAGAAGCCAGAACAGCAAGAGGGATCGCTGCACAGTGAAAGCAGCAATCCCTCTTGCTGTTCTGGCTTCTGGGATAGCTGCGCAGCCTACATTCGCTCCATAAGACGCACACACATTTCTCCTTACTTTTTAGGAGGGGAAAAGTGAGTCTTATATAGAAAAAAATACGGTAATTCGTTCCAGAGGTCTGTTCTTAACCTGAAACTGTTCTTAACCAGAAGCAAAACTTTAGCTAATGGGGCCTCCAGCTGCTGCCGTGCCGCCGGAGCACGATTTCTGTTCTCATCCTGAAGTAAAGTTCTTAACCCAAGGTACTATTTCTGGGTTAGCGGAGTCTGAAACCTGAAGCGTATGTAACCCGAGGTACCACTGTAACAAAAAGCGGCTCTGATCCTGTTGCCGTCCCCCCCTCGCCCTTTCAACGGGCAAGGACTTTTGCTATGTCAACAGAGGACTGGAGGCTGCAAGTGTGGTGGAGGAGGAGCAGCAGCAAAAAAGGCGGCCTTCAGGCTCGGAATCCCAAGTGTACGTCCGAAGATATTCCGATAATACCACCTGCCTACTTACCCTCGGTAAGGGGCGACGGGTGTGGCTGGAGACAGGAGGGCACGTCGCCTAGGAATGGGGAGAGAGAGAGAGAGAGACATCAGGTCCCCGAGGCCTCCATAGCCCCGCTAGGCCTCAGCCCCGCCCCCTCCTCCTCTTCCTTCATATCCAGGCAACCCAGCAGGAGGAGGGGCGGCCCGGGGGCCTCTTTCCAGCCCCTCTTCTCCCCCACGGTCTCCTCTCTGCTTACCCGCCGCCTCGTCAGACCCTCGCGCGGCTTTCTTCCCCGCCTTCCCCTCCTCCTCGCCTGCCTTCCTCCCCTCTCTACCCGGTTACTACGGAGAAAGAAAACGGGGCGCGACGTCGGCGGCCGCGACGCGATGACGCCATCGCGCACAGCGCGGCAGGCGACAGCCTTCTCTCCGCGCCTTTGCGAAGGGGCCTTTCGCTCCTCCGCGCGCGCCCGGGTGACGTCGCGAAGGGCGGGAAACCGTTGGAAGAAGCCCGTGGCGGGCGCGGATCCTAGAGGGGAAAAGTTCTAGAGTGACACGCGAGCCTGGTTCCCCCCCCCCATAAAGTTATTACTGTAATAAACTCACATACACATACACAATTATTAGTAGGAGAGATGGGATAGAAATAATGATGATCAAGTATTCCAAACTGACTGGAGTAAATTTATACGATATTTGAAAGATTATTGTAAGCAATTAGCATCACCAGCAGGGTAGTCTGTGAAGACTTGTAATGAGAATTTTTCTCTCTATTTTCATTTAAATTTTGAGCTATTTTGTAATGCGTGTAATTAGAATTGGAAAACGTATAAAATGCAATGATGTAAAGGTTAATTTTGAAAGCCATGAGGCAGGAGGGAAGGAAGTCGATGGGCTCTAAAGAGCCAAGGTGGTAAAGTGGATAATGATGATGTGAATGTATAATATTAAATGGAAAATAAATTATATATATATATATGAATGAAATGGGACGCAGGTGGCGCTGTAGGTTAAACCACAGAGCCTAGGACTTGCCGATCAGAAGGTCGGCGGTTTGAATCCCTGCAACGGGGTGAGCTCCCGTTGCTCGGTCCCTGCTCCTGCCAACCTAGCAGTTCAAAAGCACGTCAAAGTGCAGGTGGATAAATAGGTACCGCTCTGCCGGGAAGGTAAATGGCGTTTCCGTGCGCTGCTCTGGTTCGCCAGAAGCGGCTTAGTCATGCTGGCCACATGACCCAGTAGCTGTACGCCGGCTCCCTCAGCCAATAAAGCGAGATGAGTGCCGCAACCCCAGAGTCGGCCACGACTGGACCTCATGGTCAGGGGTCCCTTTACCTTTACCTTATGAATGAAATAATGAATCAGTATCATGTTACTGTCTCCCATCTAGCCCATCTAGTTTAGCATTACATACACTGACTAGCAGCAGTATTCCAGCTCATGGGCATAGCCGGGGGGACAGGGAGGGGCAGCTGCCCCCAGTCAATAAAAATACATAGCTGAGCTTCTGCCCCCACCAACAAAAGGCCTCCCCCCCCCAAAAAAAATCCTGGCTATGCCCATGTTCCAGCTGGAGATGCCAGAGATAAAGTCAAGGACCTTCTGCATGCTAGGCATGTGTTTTACTACTAAGTTACAGCTTGGGGTTAGTAACAGTGGATTGAATTCTAGGGCTGCTGTAAGACATGTTTCTCACCGTCGGCACACATATCCGCTCGTCCCAATAAAATGGGAATAAGAACTACGCCAGGCCTCTGGATATATTTGAAAGGGTGTAGTGTGTGGTCGTTTTTTAAAGGTGTAGACCTGTCATATTATTAATAGTAGGGCTATGAAGCTTTTTTTCCTTTTTTTCTGTTTCCCGGCACCTTAATGATTATGGCATAAGCTTTTGTGTACTGCAGTCCACTCCATCAGCTGAAAGTTTATGCCATAATAATACATGTGTTGGTGCCTCAAGTCTCCTTGTGGAATTTCCCGGACATGTGTTTGTTTGTTTGTTTGTTTGTTTATTTTGGGGAGATTTGGCAACCCCAGCCCACACCAGAGCATGTACAAAGTATTCTCTCCCCCCCACCCCACCTCACCAGTCCCTTTCTGGAAGTGTCTCAACCAGCTTCTCACATGTTTCTGGAGGAAATAATAACAACAATAATTTAAAAACCCTCGTGCCTTCCTTTCACCATTGCAAACAGAGTAAAAAACAACAAGAAACCCTCATCAAGGTCCAAGAGATTTTATCAGCCTGTGGAGCCGCTTCAGGGGACAGATGCAGGGCTGGATTTAGGTTTGATGAGGCCGTAAGCTACTGAAGGTAATGGGGCCCTTTCTATGTCCAGCTGTGCTTTGTCAACAACTGTTTTTCGTGTTGAATATATGCTGTATGGTAATTTATGGACCTAATAGTAACAAAACATGTATTTTATCGAAGTAATTGTTGAACTGAAATACAATTAAGTAGTATATAAATAGTAAAATACAATTAAGAAGTATATTAATAGTGAAATAATTAAGCTTTAACTTAAAATGATTTTTTATTCATAACTAACTTAATAATGCAAACACACTGGCATTTGGCAATAACAAAAGTTCTTTTAGAAACACAATTTATAAAGACTCATAATCTAGTCCCTAGGAACTTGCTAAAACATGAAATAATAATAGGTGTAAATATATGATGCAAGCTACTAATTATTATAAATAGCAGAATGTAGGCACCCTATATATGAGCAAACCAGTGATATTTTAGGGAGCAGGCTAGCAGGTGGGGCCCATGACTTACATCATAGGAGCCTACACAACACAAAACACTGTTGCTGTATGTAGGTTTTATTTGATTTGATTTTTATCTTATATTTTGGAAACGTACATCTAATTTTCCCCCTTTAATTTTTTGGGGGGCCCCCAAGAGGGTGGGGCCCTAAACTATAGCTTATAAGTAAACCCGGCACTGCCCCTTTTCCTAACTCCGAAGGAAAGCGGGCAAAGGCCTCCAAGTCCGCCCCGCTCCCAGCCACTCCTCCTCCTCCTCCTCCTCCCTCCGCCTCTCACCTTTCTTTGGCCTTCAGGCGAGAGGCGCCTGCGCAGACTTACGCAACTCGCGTACCTTACGGGAGGAGGAGGAAGGAAACCGCGAGCGTAAAGTCCGGCAGGCAGGCAGGCGAGCAGGGCCTCGGGAACGTCGTTGTAGCGGCAGCGCCGGCCTCAGGTACCCCGGGGTTGCGCCGGGTGGGTCAGTTTGAAGGGTTCGGGGTACGGGGAGAGGGGCGAGGGCTAAAGAGAGTCCGCTGGGCCCTTCTCTCGCCCTCCCAGGCCTCTGGCTGGTTCCTAAGCGAGTCAAAAGCGGCTCCATAGGGGTAGACAGTTGGCTGCCCCCTTTCCAGGCCTGGGACGAAAGTCTCTCTGCCTTTCGCTCTCCTTTGGAATTTGTAGGTCGGTCTCCAGGACCGTGTGTACGTACGACACGTGTGTAGCCGACCCCATCCCGGTCGTGGGAACGGTGTTGAAATCATAACTGTTTTGTAAACTGCTTCTGCTGCCGCTGTTACAAGAAAAGGTTTTTTTTTGTTTGTTTCCTCCCCCGCTCTCTTTTATTGTTCTTAATTATTATTTACAGTGCTTTTCAATTTAGTGTTGCTTGCAAGCTGCCCAAGGTTGCTTTTGTTTTTATTGCTGGGTAGCTATATAAATAATAAAAAGAGGGGGTTATAGAAGCAGAGATTGGCTTCTAAGGTTGTGGTATGGGTTGTTTATCTTGATGGGGGAAGGGAGTGTGTGTGTATGTAACACACGTGTGTGTGCATTGGGAGAAGACAAAATATCTTAACAGTACGGTATAAAGATAGGGGGAATGCTGTTTTATGTCACATAGCTCAGATGGCTCTCTTATAGGAACTCTTGGAGTTCCTGCAGCTCGCTGTGTGGGAATTTTGTGACCTGTCTGGTAAAACACGGTGGAAAAATCCACCATAATCTCTCATACGCTTAGAAAATGGATGCTGGCTTCCTGGAATTCGACAGCATAATTTTTTCTTTTTTCCAGCCTCCGTTTTCTTTTCACCTGACAGTATACAGTGCTTGTCCAAAATCACTTAATGTGGCTTAGTTTTACCTGCTAAAGCTCTTTAACTACCTGCCATACTCAGATTTGGAATTAAAAACCACTGAAGGGAAGAGCACATTTGTGCTCCTGGTTGGCCACTGTGAGAACAGCATGTTGGACAAGATGGCCTGATCTGGCAGGCTTTTATTCTGCTCTTAAAAGGGACAGATAATTTCCTGGTCATGCTTGGGAATGGGGAGACTACTCTGTAAATCTGAGTATGGAACCAGGTGGTTGAGGTGGAGTGGGGAGACTTTTTCAGCAGAATTGAGTATAGTTCTGAAAGGGTACAGTTCTAAATCAGGCTTGGATAAACCTATTTTGTTTTTTCCTACAATCCAGTGGTTCACCAGCTTGAGTTTGAGGTGAAATGATAGGCAGGATAGAAGAGCCAGATACAGAGATATCTCATTACTTGCTGCTCCTAGGATGTATGTATGTACAAGCCAGTGAGCCAGGCCGCTGTTATAACTAGAGGAGCCTTCTCTAACCTGGTGTCCTCTCTGGGTGTTTTGAACTGCAACTCCCATTTTCACTAATTTCACCATGCTGCCTGGTGTTGATGGCAGGGGTCCCAAACATTTGGAGGGCACCAGGTTGGGGCACACTGGACTCAAATTGCCGCTTGCCCATGAAGCTCACTGGTTGACCTCCTTTTTTAAAAAAAAATAAAACTTTAAAGTCTTTATAAATTCCAGCTTTTAAATTGCTTATACATTTCTTAAACTTTCTGCCTTTCCTTCCGTGATGTTCTTAATCCCATCCCATTCATTCTATTAGACATTTCACCTAACACATACATATTCTTCTCTTTCAAATACTATCGTTTTTCTTCAGCCGCTCATATTTTGAATGCTGCTCGCAATTTCATCTGGTTATGATATTTTTTCAGATATTCCAAAAGCTTGTTGACTTTGAGCTGGTCTCTCCCTCTCTTTCAAACCTTTCAGGGTTGTTCTGAGAGCAGACAGAATTGGTGGGAAATCTACAGCTAAACTATGCATTGGGGTTTCTGACAGCCTAGTTTGGTGGAAGCCAAACTGTTACTATGTTAAACAGTTGCAGGTCAGAAACTCCTACTGTGATCGTCAGGTAATCTATCTGAAGAGCTCAGTCTTACTTTCCACCTGTGCCTGCTCTAAATAGATAGGTTTATTAGTAGGAAGACCAGAAGTACCAGGCATATTAAGGGTAGGGTGATTTTATTTTATTATTTATTTATTTCACAAAATTTGTACACCCATTTTGTCATAAAAGCCCAACACTCCGCCCTCAGCCCCAGCTTATTTATCTCCCTAACCTCCCTATGCAGGTGGCGCTGTGGGTTAAACCACAGAGCCTAGGACTTGCCGATCAGAAGGTCGGCGGTCCGAATCCCTGCAACGGGGTGAGCTCCTGTTGCTCGGTCCCTGCTCCTGCCAACCTAGCAGTTCGAAAGCACGTCAAAGTGCAAGTAGATAAATAGGTACCGCTCCAGCGGGAAGGTAAACGGCGTTCCTGTGTGCTGCTCTGGTTTGCCAGAAGCGGCTTAGTCATGGTGGCCACATGACCCGGAAGCTGTACGCCGGCTCCCTCGGCCAATAAAGTGAGATGAGCGCCGCAACCCCAGAGTTGGTCACGACTGGACCTAATGGTCAGGGGTCCCTTTACCTTTAACCTCCCTACAAGCAAGCAAGCAAAGCCTCCTCCTGCATGTATCCTGTTCCTACTCCTCCCTCTTCAATCATCTTCTGGTCGTGGGGAAATGGTTGAACAGGAGAGGGAGGTGTGGAAGTCCTTGACGCTATGCCAGCCTGACCTCTCTATCCTGGCACTGCTCTTCATTCTCCTGTCCTGTAGCTTCTCCTGCCTCTGCCTCTTGCCTCCTGGCTGCTACAGACTCACTGATCCCTCCTTCTTAGTCATTCTCCGCAACTCCCCTTCTCCCGGTTGCCCACTCATCGGTATTCAGCCGCCACTCCTTAGTGTCCAGCCCAGTCCCTGATAACGGCCAGGCAAGTAGAGAGACTGGGAGTCGGCTACATTTTTAGTTTGAAGGCAGCTGTTGCTCTGCACACTTGAGTCAATTTGGCATTCAGAGAGTGTGTGCCAAAAGCACTACAGCAGCCTATTTCTCCTTCACGCATCCTTTTTTATTTCCCAAGCCTGCCTGCTTATAAAACGTAGCTGATGGATGGAAGCGCTCTGGCTGCTCTTGCTAATTTTAGATTGCCTAACCTAACGTAACCTAGATTGAGTTCCTTTTAAGGAGCTACTCCTTGTAACTGTGGAATACGGAAGGCTGCGGTGTTGCAAGCGGCAGGTACTGACAACAGGCATTGACAGTGTCAGTCTGTAACATAACCCTAACAAGGACCTCAGCTCCCAACGATACTGTGATGTGAGATTTGCAGATGGGTGCAATTCGTTTTTTATTGATTGCTGTCCAAAACAGCAGTCTTCTTCCAGCAGCAAATGGAAACTTCCCAGTGCTACACAGTAATTTACTAACTATACTGAGAAGTGTTAGATGAGTTATGAACGATGACAGTTGCTCGTACAGCAGGTGAGCTGTATTGTAACCAGGGTGGATTTGATTTAAATCACGATTTAAATCACTAGTCAGTA